AATGCTATAATTGCCTATATAAGCAGCTATAATATTAAAAGAAGGAGAAAAAGCTATATTAAAGTAAAGTAAAAATAATAATAATTAAAAAGAAAAAATTAATAAAAATAATGCTAAATTAATAAATCTTTTATTATTAATGCTTATTTAATAATTATTAATAAAAAGTATTATAACGCTTATTATTATAACTTTTAACTAGCTTTATAAATATTTATTTATAAGTAATAACTTTAATATAAATATTATTATTATATAAATTAATTAATAAAGTTACTTTTTAAAAGCAAATTACTAATAAGAAATAAGATTGGCAATAATAATTTAATAGGTTTTAATTACTTAAGAAGTTATTACTTTTAAAAAAGGCTATTAATTAATAATATAAAGATTTATAATTATAATTTTTATTAAATAAATGCTTTAATAAAGTTCTCTTAATAAAAATAATTATTTTTATGCTTCTTTATATACTTAACTTATTAAATAGCATTGCAATAATTATAAGGGATGCTATAAACTATATAAATATAAATATATAAGTTGCTTAGTTGCTAATTATGCTTAAAGGGCAATGCCTCTGGTGTGTTAAGCTGCAACGCTGCTTATATAAGCAGCTGCTTACCCGCTATTTACGAATCTATATTTAAAGGCTTTATAATATATAAATACTCTTATTAATTATAATTATATATAAATAAATAATGCTTAATATTAATTATACTTTTTTAAAGCTTTAATAAGGTATTAATAGCTTTTTTAAACCTTAATAATAAGTTAAAAAGCAAGAAATTATATTTAAGGGTAATTATTATATATAGCAATTAATATATAAGCTTTTAATAATAATAATAATAACCTTAATTAATATATAAATTAATAATATTAAGGGTATTAATTAATGACATAATAAGTATATATAATTTTTAGTATAAGGTATTACATATAAGTTATTAGCGCCAAAATGGAATGATTAATTGCATATAAGAGTACAGGTAATCAGAGCACATCGCCCAAGGCCCACACACCCAACACCCATGTACCTAACACCCACACATCTCAAACCTACACACCCAGCACCTACACAACCAAGACCTATGGGCAGAGTTGTGACAGTATCTGTGTATTTTGTATTCCAAAATACAAAATACATAAATACATGTATTTGTATCTATATTTAAATACTGTATCTATATTTATATTTATATTTATATAGGCCTTGTATTTTGTATTTATATTTATATTTATATTTGTATTTTTAAAATTTTAAATCTGTATTTTATATTTAAAATATAAAATATAGATATAAATATAAGTTATATAATATTTAATTTAAATCTTATGATTTTAAAATAAAAAGAAATTATATTTAAATTTTATTTAATTTAAGCATTTTAAATATATTTTTATTTAATTTTATTAAAAATATATAAATACTTTAAAAATAAAAAACTTAAGGTAGAAACTTATTAAATAAGAAGATAAGATTTAGATAAGAAAATAAGGTTTTTTTTTTAAAAAGTACTTATATATTATATTTAATATCTTTTTAGAAAAAAAAGATATAAAAATAAAAAAAATATACTGAAATAGCTAATTTTAAGCTTACTTTAAAAAGATTTTCAATAGATTTAATTAATTAATATTTATATATAATGTATTTTGTATTTATATTTTATATTTATGTATTTAAAATATATGTATTTATATTTTTATATTTGTATTTATATTTTGTATTTTTAAAATTTTATGTATTTGTATTTATATTTGTATTTTTAAAATTTTCTGTATCTGTATTTTGTATTCTGTATTTTTTGTATTTTCACAACTCTGCCTATAGGTATTGAAAACGAGTGTGACGGGGCTTGCTGCCGTAGGTATTTAATATATTAAGAATATAAAAGACAAAGAACTAAGGAAGGAAGCCAAAGGCATTGCTTTGGCTTTTAGCTATATACCCATAATATTAAGTTATATAATTAAATAAAGATTTATAAGCATACCTATTACATTACCCCTTAATTAAAAATCCTACCTTAATTAATGCTTTAAATCCCTTAAAAACCGCCTAGTTTTTTAAGAAAATTATATTTAATTAAAATCCCCTAAGTTTATTATCATTATTTATAAATATTATATTATTACTTTTAATTTTCGCCCTATTTATTTTAATTAACGCTTTAATATAAGTAGCCTTTATTAATATTTTAAATTATCCATAGGCTGCTAATTAAGGCATTACTTTCCTTTTATTTAAGTATATAAATTGCTTAATTTCTATATTATATAATTAAGGTTAACCCTTTATTTTCTGCTTTTTACTTAATTGTTATTAAAATTTACTTATTAAGCCATAATAACTATTAATAATTAAATTGCTATTGCCTTAAGTTCTTTGCAATATTAAGCAATATAGTTTAGCTTATTATATTTAAAGCCAAGGCTTTTAAACCCTTTTATATAAGTTTTTATATATATATTATTAATATTTATATTTATTAATTTAAAAGCTAAAGTTTATTAAAGTTTAAGTTTTATAAATAATATTTTAAAAAGCTATTATATAAGGTTATAAAACGCCTTATAATTATTAAGTTAATCTTTAATCTTTAATTATTTCTTTATAAATATATTAAGAACTATAATTAAAAAAATAATCTTAATATTTAAGGGCTAAGTATTAATTTTTATATTAAATAAAGTAAAATTAAAGGTTTATAAGAAGGCATTTATAATGCCTATTTATTATATATTAGCTAAGTATTATTATACTTTCTTTAGCTTATTTAAGTTTTTATAAGTAGCTTTTATAAAGTTAATTAAGAAAGCTATTAAAAAATTGCTAAATCTTATTATGCTAAATTTTTTTATATAGGTTATAAAAAACCTAAAAACCTTTATAGGGCCATTTCCTAATTATGCATATATATAATGTAATTAAGCATATTTTAATTTAATTATTATAGCATCCATTAATATTTTTATATAAATTTTAATTTATTAAGTATTAATGTTTTAAGTGCCTTAAAATAAAGGAATGTTTAATAATTAAGTATAAGGGTAATTTAGGGAATTAATTATTTTAAAATAAGAATTAAAAGAAATAAAGCAATATTCTTTTTAACTAGCTAAAGTAAAAAAAAGGGTTTTTCATAATATAATAGGGCTTGCTGCTATAGGTATTTAATATATTAAGAATATAAAAGATGAAGAACTAAGGAAGGAAGCTAAAGGCATTACTTTGGCTTTTGGCTATATACCCGCAATATCAGGTTACATAATCAGACAGAGATCCATGGGCATGCCCATTATAACGAGTACTACCAATACAGTGGAGCAGAGTTCTGCTAAAAGCCTCAGCAGTACGCTTAAGGGCACTCTAACGCGAGGAGGAATAAAAGAGGGCCATAGTGCTTAGGGGCAAAGCAAATAGTTATGGAATTTGCAAATTATAGCTTTAAAAATAACAGAGGGGAGTTGATTGTTCTAATCAAAATAAATCTAAAGCAACGAAAGGAAGCCGAAGCTATTATAATAGCCTTCGGAGAAAAGAATAGCCGAAATGCCTGCAATGCATTCCCTGCACCCGACAACAGTATGGTTGTTAACTGTGGGTATAGGGTGTGTGAATTCTCATGTTGTTTAGTGCTGGCGATGTACTGGTGCACCCTCTGTTCTTGCAGGTGTGGATTTCCCTAGCTTTTGTTTAAGCTAGATGGGAATCCAACGCGCCGACTTGAAGGTCCAGGGGCACCCCGGCATGCTCCAGCGCTGGAAGGCGAACGGCCCAACCAGCACTACCGATTGGCGCGTCCTCTCTCGTAGTGGTTGCATGTCAACTATGCTGAGAACCACGTCGAATTTGATTTGAGGGACGAAAAGCCGCTGTCCCCCCACACATGGCCGAGGGGCTGTGAAATTTGCGACAGGCTGCTAGGAGCCAGCTGCTGCCAATATGTCATCCATACCACAAAAGTCTCGGATTTTGAGCGATTTGGATCGTGGGCACGATTGCAGTCAATAGCATTGATAGACAGCCTGGCCAGATATTAGAGAGACGCTGTTCAAGATAGTGGCTGAAATCCGGTATGAATGTCAGTGCCAGCTGTCGATTCCGGCACTCTGGGCCGAAAGTATCTTGCATTAGCCCTTTCTTTTTTGCTTTTTTTTCAAGATGGGATCGACGTTTTGTGATTATTAATTCGAGATATGGCTATTTCAGATCCATCGATGTGAAGGGGGTGTGCCTCTAGCCACACATTATTTGACTCCGATCCCTTTTCCAGAGCCTCGTTGTGTTGCTAGCCCCATGACAATTTCGTGCTACCCCAAAGGTAGCAGCCATAAGCAATGCCAAGGTTCCGAAATCATGGGTACGTCAGAAAATAAGGCCCTCGCATGCATCGGTCGATCCGAATAGGTATAGCTCTTTAAGCTGATGACGCTTGCCGTATTCCTTCCCATTTCAACCCCTGGATAGCCAGATGGGGGAAGCCACTGAAGTGCACATCCTCAACATTGTTCCACCCAAAGTTTGTGACAATCTGTTAATGACAAATCTTCACGGCTTCTTCCACGCTTTTGATTGTCACACAAGGAGCTGAATGCAGCCTGTGGCACGAGATGTTATGGGCCCCAGTTCTTGAGCCGTAGCCTGCTCGGATTTCTGCACCCAGTGTCTGGCATAAAGCTTTCTTTCGCTCTTTCCCTTTCTCACCGTATTTCAGGTTCTCGAGGTTTTGACATCGGCCAACGTTTCCCAGAGTGCTATTAGGCTTGTTCGCAAACATGTCCTCTCCAAAGGCGATTCGAAGAATTATCGTCTGTGTGGATGGAACGTGGTATAACGCCGACGGCAAAGAAAGTTCGTTACCCCTCTCAGCCACTGAATGGTGCAAAAGTGATAACTAATCAGCCCTTAAAATAAGGCAACGGGCATGGGAATACCAGCAATGTGTTCAGGATCTTTGCATCTGTGAAGCAGGGGAAGTTCACCCAAGATGGCATCAAATATGAACAGGCGAGTGATTACAGATGTCCAGAGTTTTAGGTTATTGACTAAGACAAAACCTAATATGGTGCAGATTGTGCAATATTTTCATGGAATAGGAGTCAAGAAATGGTACCCTGAGAAACTCATCGATGGTGTTTCAGGACTTGGATGCGAAGAACTCATAAAAGAGGTCTATCATGTCCGTTAATTTCGCGTCTCATATCGATCGCATCATTTCCCAAGAAATAGCCTAACATTTCTTAGTACTGCTGCACAAACATCAGAAGTCCAGCTGACGAGCTGTGGTTTTTCGGTTTCAGCCGAGGTGCTTGTAGGTTACTCCAATCCTTTTGCGACCCGGAACAAGACGTTGAGACCTTTTAACCTCTTCGCAGACGTTGTGAGGGCGGTCGCTTCCATGTTCCGCTATATGGCTGCTGCCGTGGTTGATAAGGACGCGAAGGACTTCGACTCTACTTACAAGGAGGCCCTGAGCCACATGAGCTTTATCTCCAAAGACAAAGTCTATCGCAATGGGGGCGAGGTAAGGGGATTTCATCGCCACCGAATATTTTTGAGGGTATTCGCTGACTTAGAGAATCATTAGATGTACCGCTTTCTGTGAGTAATGGATTCTCCATAGCCTCGCGATGGGACTAACAAAATTGCTCTCCAGGTCCGAGAAAACGCAAGAAGCCCCCGCCATCGAGTTTTTAGGGCTGTTCGATACGGTGAAATACGCGAAAGAGCCCGTCAAATTCGACATTTCCTTCGAACCAAAGTGCTTTAAGCGTGTCAGACATGCCCTCTCCCTCAACGAAGACCGGCCTCAATTCGTACCAGAGATTTATCGAACATCCCCAAATGAGAGGCTTCCCGACAACTCGCTCGTTCAGGCCTGGTTTCTCGGCAGTCATGCAGATATAGGAGGAGGCCATGAACATGATGGCCTATCTCTCTACCCGCTGCAGTGGATGCTACTGGAGAGCCGCAAGCACGGTCTCATTCTCGAGCACAAACCGCAGAAGCGATTCGAGAAATTGATAGATGATCCTTTGAAACTTGTTCTCCCACAAACGATTCCTTCTGCCGCAGAAGGAGACGAGACTGCACAAGAGGCCAACGAGATACAGCCTTGGAGATACCGATATTCGAACGGAATTGAAGTCGATATGTATGATCTCAGACTTTCACACAATCACGGAAACCTGCAAAAATGGTCACGGAGAAGACTCAAGAAGCGATCAGTCGCCACTAGAGCCTCGCATGGAGTAGTTGTGAACCGAGGCGCTAGAACAACCTTGTTCCGGACACAAATCAGGGAGATATTCTCCAACGGGCTTGTGAATCAGTACAATTACACTGATACCAGTGAGTGGTAATCAAAGTCCCGAGCTCTTTACATGGAAGCTGACGCAAGAGCTTCATTGTCTATTAGGCCCATACGGAACTATCATCCATCCTTCTACATACTTCCTTCTCGAGACCTATCCTCGACTGGGCAATCCTAGCTTACGAGACTCTGTGAAGCCGTTCTTCTGGGAGCTGGAGTCATTCAGACAAAATCTTCAGTGTGTCGGCTCCAAGATGGACCCTTGGCTGGCAGAGAGACATTTCAACACCAATTTTCCTAATTTTAGGATCTTGATTTGCGGAAACGCTGGTGTGGGGAAATCGACCCTTCTCAACAGAGTGTTCGGAAGCCAGTTGTCACAGGAAAATCATCATCAGCACGGGAAGCATGACATCGATCAGCCTTTCGAAACGGACAAACATCCTGGCCTCATACTTCACGACTCAGAGGGTTTCCAAGCTGGAGATACTAAGGAGGTGGTGGCCTTTGAGAAATTCCTTAAGAAGCGGTTGATGGCACCGGATGTGGAGGACCAACTCCATGCAATATGGTAAGTCCTATGGTAGCAGTCCTTTGGGCGATAAGCACATCTTGCTCATCTTGTCGCTCAGGATCTGCGTCGAGTCTTACACCGAGCGGCCAATTCACACGGCGGAAGAGACGATACTATCCTATATCGAGGATCTTGCACCGGATATGCCAGTAATAATAGTGGGAACGAAGACCGACAAGTTCCTCAAGTTCGAGAATATAGCGGACGATCCAAAGACGCAGCAGGATACCCTGAACAACCAGGTCGAAGCCTTCCGCCGACTCTACGAGCAGAAGGTCAAGAAGGTCCAACTGAAATTCGTTTTTGTATCCCAAGGCAAGTAACTTACCAGCTCTTTGTCACCCGGCATGTTTTCCTGATTCTAACACGACCGGATATTGTCGTCGCGCAGATGATAAAGACTCTATCAGAACACTTCTCCACATGACCATGGGCTCGGTTATCGACGACCGAGTGTACGGAGCCCTAGTCAGCGCCCAAGTGGCCGACCTCGACCTGAAGATTGACCTCTCGATAGACCAGACCGTCCGCCTCCTCCGCACTGAGATGAAGTCGCTGATCTTCCCGAACGTGATTGGTCCGCCCACCCTGTCCAAGGTAATCTGCGAGACAATTCTACGGTGCTACGGGCTCACCAAGGCGGAGGCCAACCAGGTCGACGCCATCATGGAAGAGATTGTGTGGCCGAACATGGTCAAGTACATGGCGCAGCACATAACGCAGAACCTGGCAGTGTGGACTCTCGCCACGGGCTTAGGCGCTGCCACGGGACTCGGGTTCGGGCTCGTCGCCGTGCTCCCCTTCCTGGAGGCGCCGGCGGTAGGGAGAGTCATAGTCAAGGGCGCCTGCGACCTCATCATCGTGCTGGACCAGGCATTTCGCTGGGGCGGCAAGGAGCTATCGCCGGACCTGGTGCGTCGAGCGGCCGCCGAGTACAGGCGCGAAAGTGTGGTCGGGATGAGCGTCTCGACGCGGAGCAGGGTGCACCACGACATCAACTCCATGTTCCCCATCATGTCGAAGCTCGTCACCCGCGTCTACCGGCCTGGATACATCACAAAGATCACCGAGGGGATGAAGAAAATCGTCGAGTCGAACAGGATGCGGCTGGATACAGGCAAGGACTTGGACTTGGAGTCGCTCAGCGACGCATTGTCGTCGACGACACTGGCCGAGCTTTCCGGGGACGAGGAGGAACTGAAGCAGCTGGAGTCAAAAGGCTCCACTGAAACCTTGAATAATAGTATGGATTAGTCGTGGTTAGAAATGCTTACCGATCGGAGGTCGCTGGTTTGTAAAAAGAGAATGGAAGGGGCTGAGTCTGTTATGTTCAAATGTAGTCCTATGCAACAATATGATCTCATGATAATGCGGAGATTCGCAGCTGAAAAATAGATAGTATTCCGGTATATTGTCACCTCTAAACCACGTAAGAGCTCGCACGCCTAACACCCACATCCACACCCAAAAACTATACACCCAAATTACACGCCTAATTCGACTTAGGTGTGTGGGTGTTGGGTATGGGTGGCTAAGTTACTAGGCCTGGGTTATGCGCTCTAATTGCCTATAGCTAGTTATGGCATGAGTTGATATACTGGTGTACCCTCCGTTTTTGCAGGTGCGAATCTCCGATTTCTCTTAAAAGCAGGTTTGAAAAGTAGCGTGGTGATAGGTGCACAATTACCAGGGCTAAAGCCTTTAACGATCACTATTTGCACAAGACAATGCATTCACACGGTGGGACACCAACAGGTGCTTACCAGCGGTCGTCGTTTTAGTATACAACTAAACTTAGTAATAAAACCTAGATGGCTAGCAAACTAGCTATAGTTGGGCACACTGTAGTAATACAGCCCTAATCTCAGGTTTCGGAGTAAGGTGAAAAACCGGAAGCCGGCTAAAAGAATTGGAAAGCCCCTTCACTAAAGCGCGAAATAAAAATAACTGACACCCCGTCAGTAATAGAACCTAGCTTGGGACCACTCGCCTGCAGAATCAGACTATTATCCCGCGGACGAGAACCATGATAACTAGTATTTGTTGGAATAGGCATGCAAGCACTGCCGGAAACGCCCGACCCATCTCAAAAACCCATCTCCGCAAGCTTCTTTCCAGCCGCACCGACGCTCCTAACCACATTATGCTGCCAATTCTTCGGATCCCACAAATCTAGCGCAATTTGATCAATCTGGTCCTTATAATAGTCTCGGTCCACGTCCCTAGACGCGTCGTCGACCGCATCCTTTGGAAGCTGGATACCCTGGGCCCACCTGAAGAGGTTATCCTTGTCCCAGACCTCCTTGATGCGCCGCAGCTCCTGGCGGTTCTCCCTGAAGTAGGCTTTTTCGTAGCCCCCCTGGACCAGGTCCCTGTCGGGGAAGTTGAAGAACGCGGCGGCCCTCCTTAGCGAGAACGGGCGGAGCTTCTTCTTTAGCTTGCTTATGAACCCTCTTATGTTGCCTTCCATCCACTTGTTCTTCCAGAGGACCTCGACGTAGGTGTGGTAGAGCGCCTTGCGCCAGTAGAAGGCCGTGTTTGTGGGCTTTGGCTTCGATGCCTGGCCTTCGGTGTGGATCCAAACAATGTCGAGGTTGACGGCTTCCCCTAGGTACAAGTCCCGGAATGTCTTCATCTCCTCGTGGAGGAGTTTGGTGATCTTGTCGACGTCCTTGTCGATTTGCTCCCTGCTGAAGGCGAAGGCGGTAAATACTCTGTAAGTCTTGTTCTCCGCAAAGAATTTCTTGCTCTCGTCGAACCACTGCTCCTCGAGTGTCTCGTAGAGGAACCGCGTGGAGGGCTCTGGCAGAGCTCTTTTCTTGAGCTGCTTCTTGACATCTAGGTTCTTGATGTATTTGTCGATGATCTTGTCGTAGTCTTCCTTGCTTCCGTCAAAGTACACGGTGAATCGAACCCCATCGCCCGTCTTCTCTCGCAAGTCGCAAAGCCACGTACTGTCGATAGTGATCTCAGTGGGCCAGTCGACCTTGTAGAACTCGTTCATGGTGGGTAGCAACTGGTCCATCTTGTCTTGTCCTGGAAACCAGAGGAACCTTCCGCCGACCACCCAGCCGTTCCTGCTGTTCAAATGCTGGATCTTGAGCTTCATCTGGGTGACAACACCAAAGTTCGCTTGGCCTGCACCCTGAAGTGCCCAGAAGAGTCTGCCCTTGTCAGACTTTTTATCGTCGCTCTTCTTGACCACTACAACCTCTCCTTTAGCGGTTACAAGAGTCGCCTCCAGAAGAGTATCGCTTCCCATCCCGAACGTCCGAGTGAAGGGGCCTAGACCAGAGCCCAGGATGAAACCACCGACACCCACGTAAGGGCAACGACCGCCGTTGATGATGAACCCGTTGTGGTCCCCGTTGATAAGGGTTCTGTACACCTCGCCCCACTGGCAGCCTGCACCAATGGTGACAGTGTCGGCTGGGACGTCAAGCTTGACTTTGTTCATCTTTCTGAGGTCCATCAAGACGTTGTTCTTCTCGAGGGCGGTTGAGAATCCCGCATAGGAGTGACCGCCGCATCTTATCGTGAGCCGAAGCTTTTGGTCCCTGACCTGCTTGACGATGGATTGCACATGGGCGGCATTCTCTGGCTGGACAACGCAAGGCGGCCTCGTGAAGCGAAAAAGCAGGTTTGACGTGACTACAAGCTTCTCATATTCTCGGTAATTGTCGTCATCCAACTGGAAGATGGGAATCTTCTCTGATGTAAAAACCTTGATTGCGGCATCCATTGGGGCTGCTGTATTGCTGAGGAGTTGGAGTTTTGACGGCAGAGAACTGTGTCAGTGAGAAATGCGCTCCGATGGAGACAAACGCAGGGAACCTCGTTGTGGTCGGTAGATGAACACTGGACTTCGCTGTCTCTCAGCTGATGCAGGGTTTGGATCATTACTTGGAATCGTGGATCATGCTGGACGGACCAAGACAATATCGAATGCAAACGGGCGATCTTATTCGACATTTCAAACCGTATCCGGCTAGTCGCCGTTGATCTATGATAACGGTTTCTTTTTTTCTTCTTGGACCTCAGAACGAGCCAAGCTAGAGGAGGTGTTTCACAACAGGTCAGCAATAACTTCTGTTGTCTGCCGGGAACAGGGACTTCTGGTTGGTCGCCAGGCTCATCGCTTGTCACAGTGCCAGCTGGAAGCCTTCTTCTGAACTAGTTTCTCAAGGTGCATCCCTTGGAAGTGACAACTTGCATGCGCGTCGTTCGTGAACACAGCCTGCTGAAAGCTGCCGTGTTGGATTAATTGAGCGTTGGCCTGAGACTGTAGAGGCCTGAAACGCAGGCCAGGTCGTCATGGCACCGCAAGATTTGACAAATACGAGTTTGTCTCACCGCGACATGCACTGCGTTGATGGACAAAAGCATTGTCTTTGCATACTCACCGCGCTTTCCCCCAACATCACGGACCCCGCGGGGGGTGTGCTGTCTGCTGAGTTGATCATTAAGACCCGTTGTAGGATCACCAACATTTCCAAGTGGGGAATCTCAAGCTATTGCTACGACATTGCAGCAGAATCACTTCAGCATCTGGCCATCTGAGTACAGGACCACTGTCGTTATGGACAAGTTCACATACTACGTTGACTATGTCCTCAGCATCACGGGCTACGTGATAGCTTGGGTCAACAAGACCGCCAAGGGCATCGTCCGGAAACTATTCGGGTTGAACCCAGAGTTTGTCGAGGAGACCGACCAGGTGAGCCGCGAATGACTTCCTCCACTGATTGAAATCATGCAAATAACCATGTCACAGGAGGTCAACAACAATGAACAGCCGAAAACCAAAGCCGAGTTTGTCTCGAACGTCAGGAAAGCATTCCAAGGCACTCCCGCGGAGAGATTCTTCAAGAACAATCCCAAGTTCATCGAGGAGCTGGCAGAGAAAGCCGCATCGCTAGCCGATGATCCGAACACGCCCATCTGTAACAAAGAACTCTTGCCCAAGACTGCCCAGGTTACAATGCATCAGCAGGTACTCTACTGCGGTGAGTGTGACGATGATAGTGAAACAACGAGGAATGTTATAGAACGTGTTGCTGACGCCAGTTATGCAGACGACAGCACGTCCATGAAGCGCGAAGGCCGCTGGGACTCCCAGAACCAGCTCATCAACCGAATCGCCCGGGTCACCACCCGCATCCTCCCCGAAGGCGAAGGTGTCTACATGCGTTACATCAACCAGGAGATCCCCAGTTCGGACAGCCTCAAATTCGAGGACCTGCTCGATGTCGTCAGGCCGCTGACGTGGGGCGGCGACACCCCGATCGGCACCAACCTGAAGAGCAAGATCCTCGAGCCCCTGGTCTACAGCAAGCTGCCGGATGATCTCAAGAGGCCCCTCCTCGTCTCGGTCATCACTGATGGGATGCCCGAACCGGAACCCCGGTCGACCCTCGTTGATGCCATCGCTGAGTGCGGCGATAAGCTCGAGGCTGCTGGTCTTCCCCGTGAGAGTAAGTTTCAACGCCACATCTTCACCTTTATGGCAGGGCTTGTGTCAGTTTCCCTTGCTAATTTGCGTGTTCACTCTCAGGTGTCAAGTTCATGATTGGGCAAGTCGGCTCGGCCAACGCGGCAACCAAGTTCTTACAAGACATTGGTAAGGAATCGAGGATCGCAAATGTGGTATTTGTTGCTTCAGGTAAGCTGGCGGTGACCACTCACACGTAGCCCATTGCGGAGCTAAGGTCACTGCTAAAAATATCACAGAAAAGTTGGACGTCGCCTCTTCAAAGCTGGAAAGTGATTGGAAAATGGACGAACGGGTAAGCATGCCACGAAACTACCCATGTGCCCATGACAAATGAATTTGCTAACGAGTCTGACTGTAGCTTATCGAAACCTTATATGCACCCATCATGAAGAGTGAGGGTAAAAAGAAGCAGTAAGAAATGAACTACCTAGGTAGCTGTGATGGCGCGATGAGGATGGAGAATATGATTGCTGGTGGGTGCTCGACTCTCATGACAATACCGCAACTCTACCCCTTGATCAGAATTGTGAGGGTATTTCGAATAATTCACAATGGATTAAAAGATCGAGAAGATCGGAAAATGCATTTTATCGAGTCGCTCAAGGGGGCTTGAATCGGTGACTGTGTTGTGTGCTTTACCCAGGGGCTGGTATGAGCCCTCGACAGACTACTGTTACACTCTTTTATGTGGTAGTGTCTGTTATTAACATGCACGGAGTAATGTAGAATTAATTCATGTTTGATGAAGATTTATGCTACGCAATTTACAGTGAAGAAATTACAGGTAGGTTCTAATTATTCTCCCTTCTCCAGTTGACTTCAAGGGTCGTTGGTAAATAAACCGGCCGTGCCAGTCGAGTCAGACTCCAAGCATTTGTGAAGCTCAGTCATCCTTCCACAGTGACTCGCCGTAGTGATCAAATGCCCCATCAACTCAGACTTCTTTATAAACCGCAGCCCTTCGCTAGAATCCTTCTCAGGCCGGAAGCTCATGCGGCCCCTGGGTCACAGTCCCAGCATCAAGCTCAGCAACGCCCGGCCGCAGTCCACGTTTCAAGGACCTGAGGGAGAAGGCCCTCCACCCAGCCTTCCGTGGCCTGCTTCCCTCCAGCTCCGGTTTCGCCCCGTCGTGCAGCCTCTCGAGCCTCCTCGTGTACGCGGCGTCCTCAAGCTCAGCTTTGCCATTATGGGAGCCTGGAGCCCCGGCTGCCGCCTGCTGGCTTTTCTTTTGCTCGATGATCCCATCATCGCTCCGCCGCCTCGCTCGCCGGAGGCGGAATCCGAATGCGAAAAGCAGAAATGTGACGAGTAGAATTAGTGAGGCGACGGAGCCCACCGCCATGCCAACGATAGACCCGGTGGACATCTGAGCTGCTTTAGGCGGGTTTCCTGCTGAAGTAGACTGGGTTGATAGGGAGGTAGATGAGCTCGTGCTGAAACTGGAGGGCTCGGCCGAGGTGGGTACGGGGGTTGTGACGGAGGACAGGCGGGTACTGGCCATGATTGCTGTCGGTGCCGTCGACAGGGTGGTGACTGAAGCCCCATCCGTTGCCGTCGGTGTCTGCTGAACTACCTGCGTGATGGTCGCACGCTCGAGTGTTGTGAGCAGACTGGAGCCGTCCCACCCATCTGGGGTTTGAGTCTCATATACGGTCACGACCATTATGAACTGCCCGAGGCGACTGGGTGACTGTGCGATTTGTCCACGGAGGTGGTGTCGTACGAGACGAAGGGCAGAAGAAGAGCATGCAGCAGTCTGGTTAGAGCGGCGTAGTAGGATTTTGCGGCCCCCATCTAATTTCGGCTGTCTATAATGTGGTAAATGCGAGCTGGCCATTGGGGGCCTGGTTGGTGAGCGAGCTAGAATGGTTACACAGCAAGCAGGCTTAGACTGCATTTTTCATTTCAACCCAGCGGGAATGGGGGCTACTACGTGTGGTTGACGTTCTAGCCAAGCACTCCGTTGAACTGAAAGAGATAGTACAATCCGTCTGTTCGTGGTCTGCTTTCACAAGAGCCATATCGGGCTTTTCGATACGTCTGTAGAATACGACATGTGGCATTGGTGCGCGAGCATAGTACGAGTGATATGTCTATTTAACTCAGTAACCCCCTGCGTATGTGCTCACAAGTTCTCATTCAATAGCTTATGATACAGTGCACATATATAAGCTGATGAAAGAGCCTCAGTTATTCATCTTCCTCTTTCTGTCTCAGCATTCTTTTCACGTCCCCGTGAATGACCACGGAGATAACCAAAATGGACAACAAAGCATCTCGAGGTGTACTGAAAGATTAACTCAACGCATCCGCCAATCTGAGAGCAGTTGAAAATAGGCGTCGGATTTGAAGCCTAGAAAAAATTCGGATCTGATATCCCGTTACTTTTTCTTCCAACTGTCAATTACACTTGGATGGTAATATTCCTCCCTAGGGTCCCATCCACAGTATGTGTGGTAGTCAATCCGGGCCTCAGCCCTCGAGTTCAGCCGGGCGGCGTCCCACATGACGAAGCCCCAACGACGCAATTCCTCTGATATGTAGTTGCCGGTGAGATTGCTGTACTCGCCCTGCCACAGCAAAACCCAGCCAAGCGACGGCGAGTCCAGGTTTTCACCGTCAAAAGGCGTTTTCTGCCTCCAGTCTTGGGCCGAATCACGGTGAGAATACCAACGCTCACGTCTCTCGTCCTGTATGTCCTCCCGGAGGGCGTCGTCTATCCAGTCGTTTCCATAAGCGCCACTGTGGTCGCCCATACCTAACAGGACCGCGGCACGCATCATGATCACCAGCTTCTCGTGATCTTTCGTCTTCAGGGTATCGGATAGGAGCTGGAGGCCGGAGCGGAGTACCGCGTTTAGGGACTCCTTGTTGATAGCTGATCAATTCCTTAATTAGTGGTCTGCATTTGTTGTGAGTACACTGCAAACAGGGATATGCTTACATCCGTCCTCGGCTTCGGCATCCCAAACAAGCACCAAGTCCTCGTTGATATCAGTTATATCCACGTGTCTATATTTTGGGTTTTCTGGGTTTAAATCCCAAGCTACCTGCATGAAAACCTTGCCATGCATTTCCTCGGCGAATCTGTGAAAACACACAATCTCCTCGATCTCCCATGCCGGGAATATTGAGAGAACACGGAGACGGTCGACGTTATTCTTGATTCTTCCCCGAGAGGTACGACCTTCTCCCAAAGACCCACATACGTTGCAAAAGATTTGTAATCGATACATGGCACGCTGGATGCGGCACCTCTCCGTGTTGCTGAGGGGCTGCTTTCGCGTTTGCTCGCTTGTCGATGGGACAGGTAGCGAGGCTAACGCCCAGCTGGCGTAGCGGTCGGTGAGAGGTTCTATAATGGAGGTATGGAAGTGGTGAAGGTGGATAACGTCTTCTGGGGATAATGCGGCCATCCAGTCTTTTGCCGTCGTTGTGTTCTTCGATTCGTACTCTTCAACGAAAGCCCAGAGCATAGACTCTTCGCGGACCCGTTGAAAAAGTTCTTTGCCGGAGTGATATGCTCCCAGGGCGTCGACAAGCATTCCGTTTAGAACCTGTGCCAGAACCGATCGTAAGATTGGCGCGCGGTTCTCCACGTAGACGCGATGAAACTGGGGCGAGGCGTGGACGAGCGCGCTTAGCGATGAGAGGGCCGGTGCTTGAGACATGATGAGTTGCTGAAGCTCAACAGGCAGTTGCTCCAGGGAGGGCTGAGGTGCTGTTGGGAAGTCAAGACCGGGTGCAAGATCCTTAGCAGGTTCCCTTGATTTGCCACTACCGCCCCCGGTGCTTAGCGCCCGCAGGGAGGAAGTGAGTTTGTCCATGTCGATATTCTTGTCGATATTGAAAGCAATGGAAATGTGGCAGTCAAATCGAATGAGAGCCTCAAGGTTGGGGAACGAAGTCAGACAATGCGGAGGTTAGAGCTTACGGGCGGATTGAATAGGGCAGGGCCTTGGTTGGAGATAAATGAGAAAGCGGGCACTACTAGGTGACTCCATCCCTATAGCAGTGAGTCACGTTGCCGAGCATTCAGTGTGCGAGTGGCACAGCAAACGTCACGCCTTACCTAGGTACCGTTTACATGCTTTCCCGTAAGCAAGCATAACGAATGACTGCATGAATCCAGGCAGCTGCCAGCCAGCATAGTTCCAGACTTCTCTTTGCGGCAACCAGAGCCCTTTCAAAAATTTGCATCTCTTCCAATGCTGCCATTAGAGACCCGCTTTGAAGCCAAATACCGGCTCGCCAACAGTATCGCTGTAACTCGAGACGCGGTCTGCTTGCGATACTAAATAAAAGGCTGCTACGTTAAATGTACATTTCAAATACGTATCGGCAGTCTTGAGCTCCCCACAGCATTTTCTTTATCGCGACCTACCTCGTAGTGACTCTCGACAAAGGCACTCTCGAACGTGACATTAAAAGATTCGTTAAGGCTACGGTTGATAAGGTGGAGATTCCGGCCCAACCGAATAGAAACCCGGCCTTCGGTGGTTGATAACCATCAAGTTTTCTGGGCGATCTTTCATTGTGATGATGATCTCGACGCATGTATCCGAGTTTACCCGACTATATAGACGCCCGCCACTGTGCTATGTGCTCTTGTGGCGTCCAGACCGGCAAACATGCTGTCGATGCAATATTCCATGTCAGGGTCTCGAATATTTGAGGACTCTATAGTGTTCAAGGCTAGGTCGGGCGAGAAATTCCTCTGCCTGGCCTCGGGCAGTCCGCTCCCCTCCAGCTTCGACCTCGCTCCACCGTGCAGCCCCCCGACTGGCCCCGTGTGTGCCCCATGGTCGGTCTCCCCCCTCCCGTTCTATGCATATGAGCCCCCAGCTGTTGCTGCCACTGCAGCAGCTGCTGCAACTGCCGCGCCCCGATTGTGGTGAAGCACGGACATCTGGACAGGGCGCTGCCGTCTCGCGCGTCCAGCGCAGCAGCAGCCCAAGGCAAAGCGCAGGAGCGCAACCACCAGGATGAGCATGAAGAGGGATCCAACCGCGATGCCGATGATGGTCCCGGTCGATAGCTCCGCTGGGCTCGAGGGCTGGTCCAGGTGCGGGGATCGTATCGCGGGGCCAGGCGGGCTTGCTGCTGAGCCTGGCGCTTTGGTGGCCCGGGTGAAATCAAACAGCGTGGCCATTGAAGTGATGGTGGTGGTGATTGTCAAGGTTGGTGATTCTGACGATGCCGTGACTGCTTGTTGCATGACTGTGATGTGCGGCCCGACCGTTGGACTGATCATACCGCCGTCTCAAGGCTGAAATGCCTGACTTGCAGACAATGTGAGCTGGTTGGAGAGACTTGAAGGTTGTGTGGAATGAACTCTGAGATGATATTGTGCAGATGAGGCGAGGTAAAGAGTAGAAAGCGGCCTTTAGGATCTCTGGCGGTTGTACCAGGAGTTGTGACACCGTCACTGTTTGTCGTTTCTGCAGGCTAATCTTCGGCGACCTGATCCGTGAGCGAGCTTGTGGGGAGTTGCGACTACTGGAAAAAGAAGGGGAGGGATAGACCAGATGCCCTGCAATCTAGGCCCTAAATACTGGTTCGAGTGGCTTGTAACTGGAGGGTCGGGTGAATACCACCATTCACCATAATTACCCAAGAATCTGGCAATGGCTGCACAGCAGGCAATCAAATGCCTCGTGTGGGTTCGGCTGCGTCTCTGAATATGTCTCTTCTGTGCATACAATGGGAACTCGAAGCGATCGTAAATGCTTGGGTAAGTCTTCCACCTGGGCAGTATAACATATCCCATGAGATAACCGGATATGGACTAACATCCAGGGGGATAATCTCCTGTGGGATAACCTCCAGTGATAGCTCCTGGGCAACACAGAGTAACGCATCCATCAGGTGAGTCGTTCTAAGTCCATTTTTTGTCAGCAGTCTTAGTGAGCTGTCTGCTGAGATCATGTCCTGTCACGTCTAAGCTCTTGACCGAACAATTTGACTACGCTGAAAGACCACATTGCCATGTCAGGATACTGAGTCGACATTACCACTCATAAATTGTCGTTATCTTCCCTTCGTACACATTACACTCACCACCCGCTCCCCTTCTCCGGCGGATACCCCCTCCCCCCCGGCACCACGGCCCACAAGGTAGACAGGCGTGTTCTGCCTCGAGTTATCCATGACGCCCTGGCCTCTTTCAAAGGTTCCCGAGAGCTGATGATAGTCATTCGAGGTCGAGACCTCCCCGGGGCCGGGCATTCCGCCGCCATGTGACGAGTTCATACCCGCCTCGCCATGCTGCTGTGACGCGGGCGCCCATGGAGGCGCGTGGGGTGTGCTGCCCTGGAGCTCCGTTGCGTTCGGTGCAGGGTGGGTTCCAGATACCTGACGCGTGGCCACGGAGTTTGTGGCTTTCAGTTCATGCTCAGCTCCGGTAGGGATATGGCTCGCCAGGTGAGCTGCCCCCGGCGCGGGGTGAACGTCTCCAGCCTCATATTGCACGGCGCGACGCGGGGCGCCGTTGCGACGGCGGAGAAAGAACCAGAAGAAGGCCAGGACGGCGATTATACCGACCGCCGCGGCGCCGATGGCTATGCCTGCTACCGCGCCGGCTGACAGGCCCGAGTCTGACCCCGAGGCCGACGAGCCCGAGCCGGATGACCCCGAGTTTGAGCCCGGTGAGCCGCTGCCGGCGCTTGCTGAGGCCCCTGCGGCTGCCACGTCGGACGGTCGGTAGAGCAGGGCGACGCGCTCGGCTGAGACGGTGAAGACGGCGTCGCCGGATATGGACATGGTCGTCGAGTCGACGTTGACCCAGGTTAGCTGGACGGCGTTGTCCGGGCCGAAGGTGAAGGCTGTCGTCGAGGAGGGGCACTGCGACAGGCCGTTGACGATCATCGTCTCCTCGCCTGCGGTGACTGTCCCCTCGCACCAGGTTGAGTAAATCCCGTATGTCGTGACAGTGAGTCCGCTATGGCAAGATCAACTTCAGCTCCGGAACATGTTCATAAAGGAATGAGTTAGTACGCACGTCGGGCAGCAATGCGCCGTGGTCTCTTCATCTTCGCCGCCGGGCGTCCGGACCTCCTTCCACGCGGTCGACCACCCACTCGGACAGCTCAGACCGGGCGAGTACAGATACGTGTTGTCCAGCACGCCTGGGACTGGAGGATAACAGGACTGGCCGTTGCTATCGCACACCCCCTCGGGGTAGACGGAGACAAAGCATGGTAGCTTCCCGGAGACGGCGTCGGTCTGGCAATTTGAGAGGTAGCTCTGGGTGCAGTAAGACGGCGGCTCAAAGGCTGTGGTCAGCGGGTTCGGTGTGATGGTCAACGTCGTCGCGAGGGTTGAGGTCTGAGTTGCCGAGGCCCCTGTGGAGACGATGGTCTGTAGAGATGTCACAGTGATGGCCATCCTCGCTGCAAGATAGCAGTCCGATCTCCTCACCCTGGACTGGCGCACCGCAGAGAAAAGGCAGAAGCATCACGACAAGAAGTCAAGGGCAGAGCATACATCGTGGAACGGATGCGACGGCATTTTGAGCACGAGTCCCAGCAAAAGTAAGGCAAGGGAAGAAAAGGCCAAGGCCGCGGCCGTAAAAGTGCCCCCATGTGCCCCCAATGTCACCGTACTCATGCTGGTTTAATGAGAATGGCATCCCGAAGGATCAAAGGCCAGCTCCGCCTGGTGCTGGGGGCCGGGGTGAACGGAGCTAGGCCTGAGGCTGGCGATCGACGGCCAGGTTATCATTGGCGGTCGTGTCCCTCCAGTGCCTTCGGCGCCTGAGAGTTTGGTCGAGGTAGATCGGCGCTTGCATGCTACTCAGCTCGATCAAATGCCTTGATCTGAGCACATGTCCAAATGTGGTTGCCAGATGGATGCATGGAGTCTCGATCACTCCCACAGTCAACCACAAGTGCTGAAGATGCTTGTCTTCATCATAACACTGGTATTTTTTGGGGGTGATGCTGTGCTCGCTAGCAGGAGTGCAGCTGAAGACAAATGGAGGCCGATAAGGGAGACGTCGCCGAACAGAGAGGAGCTAGGCCGTGAGGGCGAGAGGAGCCTCTCCCCTGCAGTTGAACCGGGTGCCGCCCTCGTGACTGCGCGTAAAGAGATGGTCCGAGCTTTTCGCGTCTGCCTAGAACGTCGTCACGACTTTTTGGCGGCCCGTTCTTTGTGTCGCATGAAGGGGCAAGTCGCTGTGCCGCCTTTGGTGTGTTCTTGATTCGGGTTCATCATCTTCTCAATCAATGTGAACTCATCGCTGGATGGGCATCTAGCCAGCCTGCCATCCCCACAGACGGATCTCCCTCCCCTCGAACCCCGCCATTGCGCCTCATTCCACTTCGACTCGAATCGACTTGGCCCAACCCAGTCCCAACAGCCACCCATGGCGCCCTCAAAAACGAGCAGGAACACGCGCCCTGCGCCCAAGACTTCCAATCCGAAGACTCCAAAGCGTCCTAGTACGACAAATAAGAGCATCCTCAACTTCTTTCAAAAAGTCGACCGCCCCGAAGAGTCAATGTTCGTGGGCGGCGAAACTGCTGTCGCGGTGGCAAATCCACCCGCCCAAGAGGAGGATGACATCTACGGTGCCGAGGACCCGGTATTGGAAGAGAGGTATAACGAGGCCCAGGGACCAAGCAAGAGGAGGAAATTGAGCAGTATCCAAGACACACAGGACGAGAACGTGTTGCCAACCACGACAAAACCCGAGCCACAGCCTAAAGCGACCTCTGTGAAATCGTCTCCGCCGCCAAGGAAGCCGCGGAAAGGACCGTTCCTGGACGACTCTGACTCTGACTCCGAACCCGACAACGATGGCAAATCTATCGTGGATCAGTCGAATGGCTCAAAGCCCACAAAGGCATCCCCGAGTAAGGAGGACCAGGAAGTATGGCCAACGACACCCAAGGACCCGGAGAGGACGAGTCTAACCCCTGCCCCTGCTCCAGTCTCCAGAGGAACGACCCCGCCGCCGTTCAAGAACGAGCCATCGACCGACGGAGATTTCGGCGACCTCGAAGGCCTGAACGATGAATTCGACGACGACCTATTCGAGGGCGAGGAGCTGCGCGAGATGCGGTTCATCAAAGAGCAGGCTCGGCTGGAGGCTGAAGAGGCTGGGATACAAACCTGTGACGACGGGCTCGAGACGATGATGGAAGACGACGGGATGACGGAAAGCTGTCCAATATGTAATAGCAGCCTCGCAGGCGTCACACCCGATCAGGCCACCGTACACGTCAACTCGTGTCTGGACGGCAACCCTACACCTTTACCATCAACGAAGCCCACGAAACCGCCTCCACCCGAAACGAAACACGTTAAACCAGGGGTTTCAGCCGAGAAAAGTACAGACCTGGTCTCGGCGCCAGAGGTCGGCAAACGGTTCGCTCGCGCCGCGGTCGCGCGGCCGGGTCAAGCAAATCCAATTGAGCTCGGTGGAGGGTCAAGCAAGAACGGCGGCGGCTCCACAACGGCCTTTTCAAAGCTGATGTCTGGCCATGCCGAAGACAACGCCTGGGCAACTGCAGCCGCAGCAGAACACGCAGCCCGGGGCAAGCCTGCATACCAGCGGACATGTCCCTTCTACAAGATCATGCCGGGCTTTCACATCTGCGTAGACGCCTTCCGGTATGGCGCCGTGGATGGATGCAGGGCGTATTTCCTCAGCCATTTCCACAGCGACCACTACATCGGCCTGACTGCCAATTGGACACACGGCCCTATATACTGCAGTAAGGTCACGGGGAGCCTGGTCAAGTCCCAGCTGAGGACGGCGGAGAAGTACGTCGTGGAGCTGGAGTTCGAGAAGAAGGTGCCTATACCCGGGACCGACGGAGCATTCGTGACCATGATTCCTGCAAACCACTGTCCCGGAAGTTCCCTGTTCCTCTTCGAAAAGACCGTCTCAAATCCCAATCCACTTTCACATTCAAAGGAGAAGCGGGTACAGCGCATCTTACACTGCGGCGACTTCCGGGCGTGTCCAGCACACATCGAGCACCCACAACTGAGACCAGAGACCATCGATGCGCTAGGCAAAGTCAAGCAGCAAAAGATCGACGTCTGCTACCTCGACACCACGTATCTCAACCCACGTTATTCTTTCCCGCCACAGACCGACGTCATCCAAGCGACAGCCAACCTGTGCCTCGAACTAGACACGAGCCTCCGAGCGGAAGACGAATCCGTCTGGAACAGCGTCCTCCGCCGACGCGAGGGCCGCGGCGTGGGGAACAACGACACGGTCAGCCGCTTCTTCGTCGCAGCCGACAAGCCCGCCCCAGAAGGTAAGCAGGCCGCCCAGGACAACACCACCACCTCCACCACCAAGAAGTCCACCCCCGGCAGCCCAAACGCCTTCACGGCGCTGGGCCAGAAGGCGCGCGACAACCGCAACCGGCTCCTGGTGGTCTGCGGGACGTACAGCATCGGCAAGGAGCGCATCTGCAAGGCGATCGCGCGGGCGCTGGGGACGCGCATCTACGCGCCCGCCGCCAAGATGCGCATCTGCTCGCAGCTGGGCGACCCGGAGCTGTCGGCGCTCATGACCTCGGACCCGGCCGAGGCGCAGGTCCACATGCAGATGCTGATGGAGCTGCGCGCCGAGACGCTCGCCGAGTACCTCGACGCCAACCGGCCGCACTTTGGCCGCGTCGTCGGGTTCAGGCCGTCCGGGTGGAACTACCGGCCCAGCCTGGCCAACAACAACGGCAGCGCCGGTGGGGGCGGTGGCGGCGTCGGGGGAGGGGCAGTAGGAGGAGGAGGCTCGGCGGCCCAGGTGACGGCCAACATGCCCCCCAGCTCCGTGCCAACGGCGCACATCCTCCACGGCCCCGCGTGGCGCACGCGGTTCGGCCCGCGCGACCTGGTCCCGCAGCAGGGCAGCTCGCGCGACGCCATGTGCTTCGGGGTCCCGTACAGCGAGCACTCGAGCTTCCGGGAGCTGATGCTCTTCGTCATGTCGCTGCGGATCGAGCGCGTCGTGCCGACCGTCAACGTCGGGAGCGAGCCGTCGCGCCGGCGCATGCGCGGGTGGACGGACCGGTGGCTCTCTGAGAGGCGGCGGGGAGGCGTCGTGCGGCTTGTGCGGGAGGAGGGGGACGGGGGTGAGGACGAGCTTGGGAGTGATGGGGAGGCGAGGGAGGGGTCGGGGAAGAAAGGTGGTGGTGGGGACGTTGCGATGTGGGATGGGAAGGACGGACGCGGCGGCGGCGTGTACTGGTAGGGATGAGTGGTTGTCTGTCTTACTCTGGCTGATTTTCATGTTCAGTCTGAAACCAACATTATGAGAGGTAAACATTAGAGTGCACTGCCATCATGGTTTCGAGTGTCCATAACATCTTCTTGCACTAAGCACGTAGCAGCGCATTGAGCAAATGATCAATCTTCAGTCGCATCTTCCAGGGAGAATCACGTCCCATGTGTCGCAAGATATCCTTTTTGGTCTTTTTCTACGCCGTTTCCCGGGTATTTGTCTCATCCACAGCCTTTTCAAGATGCGCCCACCTGGGACCCCTCAGTCCAGACGGCCAACACAGCCAGTCTTGCTGGATGCCTCTCCTCGTCACTCTCCGTGACTCTTCGCAGTGCTCAATCGCCTCGTCAGATGCATCCTCCCTGTAATGCTAGCCAAGCAAGCCCATGGTGTCGATATCCTCCCCCCAACTTTCAGTCCACCTTTACTCACTTCGCCTTGGCAGCCTGGTTCGAAGCCTCTGCAACAAAGAACACACGACGTCAGCAAGGATGGCTTTCCGGTCTACTGCCCTTTACGATGGGGTGGCAGATAACTTGATGAAGAATCAAGAAAGAGACACCAGCACTCACCTCTCCTCGCGGCGTCCTCCAGCAGGGTGACGTCGACGGCGCTGGCGGGCACGTAGCGGACGACGGAGCCGCGGATGAAGACGTTCTTGACGGCGCTGAGGTGGGGGTACCGCAGCTCCTCGTGGACCGAGATGTCGTCGAGCTTGATGTTGAGGTACTGGTCGACGGATTTCAGCGTGCCCGTCACCTTGATGTCGTTCTTGAGCTCGACGGTGACGGACTGGTCGATGAGGGTCTTGAAGAAGCTTTAGGTTTTCGGTCAGTGCGTGGGCTCGGTATTTGGGGTTCGAACGACTTGGGAAACTATATGACATGATGTGGGAAGCAAGACATATGTAAGGGAAGGTCCCGGGGGGGGGGGGAGGTCGAAGTCCAAGAAGGAAGCTTAGTGACAGCCCAAGTCCGACCCAAGGACCCCGTCGCATCCTTCATCCCCCTCCCCATCCCCCTCCATTCCCTACAGCCAGTAGACCACTCATATCAGCAGGGCGGGTGCACACTTGCGCAGCCAGTCCGTCTCCCGAGTAGCAAACACTGATGGCCACCTCTCATGATCAATCCACGACCTCATGGCAGCAACCCCCCCGGCCCATGGTTCCGTCTCCCCCCATCGAGCAGCACCATAGACCAGCCTCGCAGATAGACACAGTTCCCGCGGCTCCCATCGCGTCTCAACCCGCTTACCTGAAGAATAACATCCTGAGCGAAAGACCAGGCGGGACACGGCGCGCGGCAGGAGAGTGTGTGTGTGCGCGCGTCCGGGGAGCGTTCAGGTGTGGCAAGGATCGCTCAGCTGTGTTGATCCAGGTTCAGAACAGGAAGCAGAAAAAAGTGAGTGAGACGAGACGATATGAAATGATATGAGATGGAGTGAGATGCAGCGTCGTCGTATTGCGTGTTGGTTGGTTGGGATTATCTGGACGGCGGGAGAGGAGTCTTGAAAGCTTCAGGCGGGTTTTGGGCGAATCCAGTTGATGCTGGACGTTGGACGTCCGTTCCGTTCGCTAGTGGGGATTTGCCCCTGCTGAGGTAAGCAAGCCTGGGACCCACCCCTGCACGCAGGCTGTTCAACCCATCGGCCACCCACGCTGCGGCTCTGGTCAAGAACAATTAATTACAGGGGCCACTGAGCAGGATTCATGACTGACTGCCTCTTCGGTTCAATAAGGTGATTTCCTAGGTCATCGGTCTACATAAAGTTATGAGTAAACCATCTATCTCACTGTCAGAAACGAAAGGAAATGCCCGTAGCAGTGACTGCCATGCTCACTTCCTTGAAGCTCCCAACTCACAGCCTGGAGAGGCCGATCAGCCCTAGAAAAAGTGAACCACATCTGTGGGCGAGTTTACATAGTGTTTACCAGCTTGAACCACGCGTCCTAGCTTCTATGCCGCCAAGTTCACCTTTTTCAAGGATCCCTATTATACCGCCGCTGATATGTGTGATCAACTTGATTCGCACTGGCATTCCCATCGGCCTGGGTCGCAGGTGAGTCGCCAGTCGAATGTGCGGAAGCGTCCAGCAAAGAGTCCAATGAGACCAAGTCTGCCTCCTGATTCCAGCTGGCTCTACTGGAAGCAGCGGCGCTATTGTTGCTCGCCTCTTCTGGTGTCCTCCCGGCTGCAATGGTGCTCTCAGTATCAGACGGGTATTCTCGGGCCAAACTTGGCAGAATCTCGCCTGGTTTGGTCGTTGGGATAGCATCAGTGACGCCAGACCACGTGCCCGCATTTACTCCTTGAAAGCCGATCCGTTGCAGCTGGAGAGTTTCTGATGCAGCCCACTCCAGATATGTATGCTGCTTATACTTTCGACGACGATAAAGGCATTTAAATATAGGCTCCAAAGTAAAGGATGTGATTATGATGAGCAAGCCGGTGACGAATGTGAAGTAAAGACCAAAAAGACTGAAAGACATATGTCTGGTACTTCGTATTTTCTATAGTTCAGGTTTTAGAGAATCCCACGTTAGCTTATAACCACGAAGATCTATATGCCAAGGAGGCACCTAACCTGCTTATTGCATATTGCCCATATATCTGAGTTGATTGGCGGCATCTTAAAGGGCTCTAGTGCTGGATCTGTTGATCCACGAGCTGTATCCGCCAAAGCTGGCTGTAGCGACGCCAAGGACATATTATGGCCCACCAGTATTCGACGTCAAGTTTCCACTGGTCGTCCGGCAGCGGACCCAGTAACCCACTGGTGAGATATTTGAGAGACCCCAAGGAATCTGGACCAAGCGTGGACACAATCCGGCTAGTGGGGAGTGCTAAAGTAGCTATTATCCAGGTAAGCCACTGGTAGCGCGAGGCCATGGTGCCATTTACTTTCGTTCATATTCTCAAAGTCGGCTGATGTCATACCAAAAAGTGGTGCTGACTGGGGCCATGGCGTCCACCCAGCTTGCCAAGGGTCCGCACCTGCTCTTTGAAAGAGAAGGGTTGCAGAATTGAACCTGTTCCGTACATCCCACAGGAGAAGCTGCCTCTTCCGGTTGGTATACCCTGAAAAAGCCCTCGTCTGAGTACAGTGAGTCAAACTCTGCGCCAAGCACCGTTGCACGATACCAAGGGTCATTGGTTCTCTCAAGAGACCAGATGCCGTTCCCAGAGAAGAAGATCAGGACGGTATCAGCATCTGGGCTGAATGTAGCTGGAATTGGGTCGAGATAGTAAAAGCCGTTGTATAGTTTTCGATCGCGCACAAGGGCTAACTTTGTGCTGCCAGAAGTTATGCTTGTTAGAAGCTAGCACGAACAGTGCCCGAGCAATTAAGAATGTGTAAAATGCTCACTTTAGAATGAAGGAATTGCCTCGACCGCGGGAAGGATTTTCGAGCTGCCTATTGTACTGTGTATCCAGACCTTCGATCATATAGGTGTAACTCCTATTGAAGTTGCTTTGCAAAGGTCCATAGTTGTAAATAGTGAAATTATCGAGCAGGCCTTTTACAGGTTCGGTGTAACCTTAGGTCTCTAGTGGTGCGCAGTGCAAGACTTTTCTAAAGAGGATGTCTTGGTCCGGAGGGGCATTTATACATAGATGATTGAGCAGACTAAGGTATCCAGTGTCGAACCGTATGTTAGAACTATTGCTTCTACAAATGCTGCTGTTATGGAACGGACAAGCAGCTTGGCTATCCACCATACTGGGGAGATGATCTCTCTGACGAAATAGTTGCAGTCAAAGATTCCAGCCGAATCGGGGATCCCAGCCGAGTTAGGCGAGTAGCATTGCTGTGCATAATTTGTAGCTGAGTGAGACATCTGTGAGGTATAAGGTGCCATGATATTTATAGCATCGGCGTCAGCAGTAGTATAAAGATTGATACCGCAGTTAGCGCCGTTGAGCAATACTTCATCGCTGATTCCAGATGATATAGAGGAAGGGAAGCCTCCTGCAACGGTAAAGGCACCAAGGCAGAACACAGCCGTCAGCAAAGTAGGCAGGACTCGGACAAAGCAATGCTTGGCAACATTCCTCCATGTCCAAAGAAGCTGTGAAAGGGTCCAGATAGCGGAGAATGTGGCTGTGGCCAAGTCGGTCAGTCCAAAAAAGGCACAATACTACAGCCTTGGACTTTCGGAAGTAACATACAGGAAGAATTGCGTAAAATCGCTTGCTGTTGGTGATAGAGTCCATCATCAGGCTTAGAGGAGGAGTAGTGTCTGTAAAATATTCTGTCGTACTTGTTTTAGTATCATTCATATACGATGTTGAAATGAGAAAGGTCCACAGAGCGAAAGCATCACTGACATGCAAGCGATCCGCCACAAGCGCCCAGTCGCAACACCAATTAAGACGGCAGTGAAGGCGATAAGAAGCTTCCCCCCCCCCCCCCCCACCCTTCCATCGAGAGTTAGAGTCGCTCCCATCACAGGTCCTCTGCACCAATTGATCCAGGTACCCAAGTGAACATCGTCCTTTGGAGTGGCAGCCCCGTCTGCCCACGCTGCCTGGTGCATCATCTCGGCGAGCACAGGAGGAGTGAGCAACAATCGCTTGACGAGTGCATGCTTCCTATTCGAAGTGCTGGACGGTGGATGAGTGGTAGGAATATCGCATGAAGATGAATACAAAGAGAAAGTTGGAGGGAGACGGATGAATTGTCGACGTTATGCGATCTCGGTCACGGACATCGACGCAGTCTTATGCTCAAGCAGACTTCAGCATGCACGTTGGAGGTAATCTTCAACAAGCAAAGGCACGTTCTGGGATTTAAATGCGAATTACAGCCCCTACTTCACTTTAAATCCCTGAAAAGATGTCTCCTCTCCAGAGTTGGCGAGAAGATGTCACGGCTGACCGACAGGGTGCGTTGCAGACAAACATGGGCACAGCCCCCAAACAAGATGTAAGACAAAACGTTGAATATTTCTTGGCCGCCCCCTCAATTACACTCGGCAGGTTGCGAGAGCCAACGAAGATTGCAAACACAAGCAGTCTAGAAACTGCTGACCGGGAAAATGCCCGCTTGTCCAACACGGCGAGAGAAAAATATGCGCATGCACTGACAAAATGCCGGCGGACGGGTCATCAGAGCGGCCAAAACACATAGCAGGGGCCGTTTTGGATATTTCAGCTCACTAAACAATCTCGCACCGGCCGTGTACCAACTCCAACTTGTTGGTGATCACATGGGGGCCGTCACGTCACAACGAATTCATTGGCGAAGGCTCAAACTCGGCACAGAGACGACTATCAGCTTGGCCTGGAGGACAATTCTGATTTTCTTTTCCCGAGGGACATGGAGAAAGAAACAGAAATGAGTGAGTTGTATCCGAGTAATCAAGTACACTCAAATTTTGCGGGCCATCTTGTCCCTGAAAATCCGTCACCACATCTCTCAGGGGAGAATTTCATCGTCCAGTAGCTGTGCCTCTTGTTCAGTAAGGTTGTTAAAAAGTGTTGCACAAGGCCTGCTGGAATACTGACGTGGGATCTCCAATCGGGATATCAAGCAAAGAGCATCGAACTATACTGAAAAAACCAGCCATGGTAAGGATGTACGTCCGTCCAAGAATATAGCGCAGGCATGCATTCAGTCACAATAAGGATATCAAGTATTTGGCACGTGTTGTCAGAAAAATAACATAGGTATCGTATTTCCGTCTTGAGACAATTTCTTAAGATAAGTCCCCGTCCCAAGAAAAGAACTGGTTCTGTATGTGTTTGTGTGTGTGTCTGAGAGTGGATTGGTGTCCCCCGTCCTGTCCTTTCCTTTCCTGAAAGCCGCCTGTCCCGGGCAACGCTTCTTCTCTCTCTCTCGCTCGCTCTTTTCTGTGTGCGGTGTTTTTTTTCTTTCGGGGGCGTCATTTCTCGGGTCATGGGTCGTGAAGGCGTTAGAAAAAAGAAAAGAAATAGAAAAAAAGGCCCGGGGCGAACGAAAGTAGTGTCTTGTGGACACGTAACAACCGACAACGAAGACAATCACAGGCAGGCCTTGTCGCTCCTGTTTTCACCGTCTGGCAACCGGTACCATGTGTCTGTCGAATGTCTCACTCCGTTCATCGTCATCCAAGTAGAAACAAGAAGCGAAAATAGCCCCCTCGGGACGGGACGCTCTCATAAACGTGAAGCAGATAAGATACGGCATTTGGATAGAAGGTCCAGAAAGGAAATGAAGAGAAAAATAGCGCGGCAAAAACATGATTGGGTATCCTTCAACTTTGTTACTGGGGGTGTCGTGATGCAGTCTTTCGTGAGAAGAGAGAGGAAATGTGTTTCTTTCCCGGGCGTCCCATGCTTCCAAGCCTCTTCGCTATCCAAGTCACCAATTACCGTGTGGCACGAGGTCTGACAACAATGAAAACCAGTCCTGTGGTCCTCCCTCACTGGGTACTATCCCATGTCCTTCCTCCCTTGGGCCGCGTGCGAAGGGCCGACCTCCACCGTGGCTTCCAAGTCTTGGTGCAGGGCTGTGGTCGAGTTGGGCAACCAAAAGGTATCAAACGAGCGTCCAGCTGGTGCGCATATGGGCCGTCGCAACAAAGAAATCGATCAGCCGTGCCAAACTCCGCGCCAAACAAACTCCGACGTCCAGGTCGTGTGTGGATAAGGAGATAACGTGGGTAATCGAAATCTTTCTCGCGGTCATGACATCGTAATCGTGTGGACAAATGGAACCGGGAACGCCCCTCGCGTTGAGAACAGAGCAGTCCGAGTCGATACTTTGCAACGAACTGCCCCCTGTTCACTCCTCGTCATCGTCCTCGTCGTTTTCGTCTGGACTCTCCGTGTCCGTCTTGCTCCTTTTGTTAGGGGTATCCGCGCCACCCACCGATTTTCTCTTCGATCCCAAACTTGATCCCGCATCGCCGTCATTTTCGTTGTTTTCACCGCCAACATCCCCCTTCTTCCTCTCTATTTCTGCGACCTCGTCTGCCGTGAGGAAACGACCACCCGGCCCTCGGGGACGGCGCATAGCGTGGTTGTGTCGAGACTCGTGCAGATAAGGCTTCCGACCTTTGCTGGTGAGCCGCAGCGCCTCCTCGAGCCTCTGTCTCGCCACCCTGCGCTTCAGAATTCTATGGAACTGCTTTGCGTTGACATACAGAGGTGACTCCTCCTGGCCCTGCGGCATCTCAGGCGACTGCGGGTGCTGCATTGCCTGAGCAGATGGCATCGGAGGGGCGACTGAGGGGCGGCCTGCAGCATGATTCATGATAGCTTGAGGGTTAGGCACGCCAGGACTCGTGACTTGGCTCATCCTCCGCTGGGGCATGCTGTTCATCTGCTGGGGCGATCGTGGATCACGGCCTGGCTCGGTTTTGGTCTTCATGCTACCCATCCTAGGTGATGTTTGGAGGTTTGCGTCGGATGACATCGGGTACGGGTAGGCTGATCCCGACGCGGCAGCCGTTGCGGCCATGGCAGCGGCCTGGATGCCGGGAACACCATATTGCATGCCCGCATGTTGGGGCATGCCATATTGCGGCTGATACATGGCGTGACTCTGGGTGGGTGTCGTCTGTTGCTGAGACGGAAGGACGGGCGACTGCTGAATGTGCTGTGCCTGGGGCGATGTGATGCTATTAGCACCTGTCGAGCTTGGGTAGGCTGTCGAGATGTGTGGTTGCGAATTCTGCGGGTTATGCTGGTATTGCGCGTACTCCATCATGCTTGCCGGCGTTTTATCGGAAAGCTCTTTGATGGCAGTCCGAGGGCAGATTCGGTGTTGCGTACCGGGCGACTGGTGTTTTTGGTCGTCCGCTGTTGGGGTATCACGATACTGTTGGCCGATAGACGCGAAAGCCGTGGTCAAGGAGCAAGAGTAGACAAGATACCAATATCACAGGTTTTGTGTAGTGAGGGCTGTCTGTGACACAGCAGAGCGTGAGCCTGAATCAGTTATTGGTTTAGGCACGGCGCGCTGGGATGGGTTGGTCGTCGCCTGTCGTCACTGAGTACCCGTGGCCTGGGCTTGGTGCACACCCAATCTATTGGATATGCGTGGATGCGCTGGCAGTCGCGAAGGTTGTAGCCGAACTGCGTAATTGGCTGCACCACGGCACATGCAAGCTGATGTGCACGCGGGGCGGGCTGGGTGCAAGGTCCCTGGGCGGAATGGGTCCAGGGGCGATGAAGCCACGTGAGGATGAACGACAAGGCGATCTCTGGCTCTGACGATGATCCACTTGGGACAATCGCAGGCAGACCCAAGATACAAGACCCAAGTGTTGACTGGTCAAAGTAATTTCAACGGCTTATTGCGGGCCGTCGCGAAAGAAGCTCTGACGAAACAACTTGGGAGATCTTGTTTCCTAGGATCCGATGCCGTAGAGTGACTGTACGCTTTAAATCGGCTTGTTGAATCTACCCAACCATTGACATTAGTCGTTGTGCGCAAAATAGAACGTCAGGCATAGAAGCCGGGACCGAGTCGATAAACGAGGGGCAGATGGACGGGTGTGGTAGTTAGGTAGGGATGCTTCGCGCCCTGGTCTCCCACTTGATGCGCTGGCATGCATGACGGAGCATGCACAAGCCGGGCCCACCATGTAAGCCAGCTCAACCACCACCCACCCCCAGACTTGTTCCCGAGGGCGATGACGATCAGGACGGGAGAGTGTCATTGCGACGGGCACCGCGAAGGAAAAGAAGGAAGTCGACCAAGACGACAGCATGACCCGCGCATTTCACCGAGGCACAGGACATGCATGCAAGCACTCAGCACGACAGGTGGGCGGGCCCCAACGGCCCTTGGCCCTGTCTGGTCGACTTGACCGGCAACATTTGCGTGCGACATGATATCACAGGGCAAATGCCCGGTTGACAACGGAGGGAGCATGCGCACACAGGCAAGAGTGTGTCTTCGGGGCTAGGGCGGCGGATTCATGTTGTGCCAGGTAACGTGCGCACCCAGCAGCACATGACAGAGGTCGTCGTCGGGTCTCCATGCTGCGAAATGAGCAGGTGGGATTCGACTAATGGACACGCTTGTGCCGCCGGCACGAACCAACTTGATACAGTCTGCGCGAATGCGGCGCGGGCGAAGGAACGGGTGGTGAGAAGGATTTGTGTATCACCCTACAGGGCCGATTCGCCGCAGGTGCGTGACGTCTAGCCCATGGCGGGGTTCTCCATCTAGAGAACACTCCCGAGGGTTTGGGTGTGCGGGTGAGGGGTTCGAGATTTGAGGGTGTACCACTCTCAGGGCCGAGGGTATGGCAAAGCTGGATGAATATCCGGCTAGAGAGGGGAACCACAGAGACGGGCAAACGAGCCAAACACACAAAGAAATGCAACGTACCAGTGTTCCTCGCGTTCAAGCTCCAGACGGAAGCGCTGGGTTGCGTAGCATGTAGGAGCTAGCTACAGGGAAGACTGCGTCAGCATCTTGTACTCCTGGATTCGGGCATATCGGTGACCGACAGGGTTGCGGGGTTTTGAGAGGGGCATATGTGGTAGCAGGAGAGGAATGCCACACAAGATAGTCCCGTGGCTGTTGTGTTGTTGCAGCGAAGTTGTCATGACCTCGCTGCACTGAAGGTTCCAGGACAGAGTGAAGCAGAATATGCCTCGCACCCAGAAGCTGGGTCGAGCCGGTTGAGATGGTGTGGTGAGACGGAGGACGCAGGCGCCTTGGCCGAACGGGATGGTGGAAAGCAAGAGGGGCAAGGGGTTGACGGAGCACAAACAGGTCAGAGCTTACCTTGAAATGAGATCGAACAGGACCCCTATGATCACAGCGCGCTGCTGGGCCTCGAGGTACAACACGCCCGTTTGATTGAGCGGCGTTGAAGACGTTAAAATTCGCTGCCGCAGGCTGTTGATATCACGGGACTATGGGGACAGCCAATGAAGACGTCAAGAGTGAAGCTGGCGGTGTTGATAGGTCTTGAACCGTCGCAGTGGTGAGGATACCGGCTTGGTGTCGCAAATCTAAGATGGTGTTAGCTGATTTGCTGGGCTGGTCGAGCCGTTTTATTTGTGTGTGCGCTGGAGCGGTGACTGGCTGACGGGCTAGGGTGGGCGGCCCACATGGCCCACCTGCAGGCAGAAAAGCCCGCGCGGATGTGCGACCAGTGGGACGGAACCTTGACGGATCGGAATAATCAGGGGGGTCGGGGCGACGAGACGACGAGGCTGGCTGGCATGGTGTTGATGGGACTAAATCAGACCCTGTCCGGCCGCTTGGCAAAAGGCAGCAGCAACAGCAGCAGCAGCAACATCATCAGCGAATACGGTTGCGAGGCTGTCACCTCGCGGTTGGCTGAGATGCCGTGCTGGTCTGTCATGTTGGCACAGATGCTGAGCGGATGGAACTAGAGGATGGTGGTCCGAGACGGTAACAAGAGACACGGGTGGCGGTGCTATGAGCGGCACGTAGGCTCAGGCTCATGTAGCCGTCATGCAGACCGAGCGAATCCATCTGAGACGCGAGCCTGGGTCTGGGTCTGGGCCGTGGCCTTGGGCCTGGGGCCTGCGCCAGCACTGATTTCTCTTTTGCAGCTGTCTGCTGCAGGCCCAGAACGTCGGCACCCGACCTCATGGCGCGACCTGCAGGTGCAGGACACAAGTGGAAGGGCGAGGGAAGCAGTTCCCACGGCTGATGGATGGGGAGTGACAGGCCGGGCTTGAGTGAGAGTGGGCTGAGTGATCCCCCATGGCAAATTGTAGAAGGATCGGACAGACAGAAGAAGCAAATCGTGATTTCGTACCTTGCTTGAACAACGCTCGATGGCGAGGCTGACGGGGCGTGGAGAAACTGGACGAGGCTTTCTTCCTGTTGGTTTGTTTGTCCTTGGACGAAAATTGATTCGTCCGTTTTGTCGAGGGCAGGGCTAGCAGGCAACTAGGCGTCTGCAGGCTGGCTTATCTCGTCCATGGTCAGCAACAGGCTCAAGTCTAGCTTGTAGACCATGAATACACAGCAGTAGCAGATGGAAAGCCGGAGTCCCGGAAAGCTCAGACACTCTGCAGCTGCGTGCGTGCGTAAGTGCGCAAGTGTGTGCGTGCGTGCGCTGCAGATTGCGTGCCGTGGGACGGGAGAGACAATCCGGGGGAGAAGATTGGGACGGAAGACTGGACGACAAATGAAACGCGAACAAATTGTGGCGCGCGTAGAGGCGACAGAGACGGGTAGTGAGCGGTTTTGGGTTCGACGGCTGGCTGCTTGCTGATTGGGTGTTTCGCACCCAGGGGTTTGGCACTCACGATGTGTCGTCTGGACTCGACGCGACTCGATCCGGGACGGGGCTGGATGGAAAGGCAGATGGATGGAGGGCTGGGAAGCGAAGGAGGGGGGGGGGGGCAGGTGGCTTGGTGGGAGGGGAGAACAAGGGCGTTTCGAGGAACACAAACTGACGATGACCTACCCAATTAGTGCCTCGGTGACTTGGTGCTCTGCTCAATGCGGTGCTGCAGTCTCTATCTTCTACCTGGTAGTCGCGCGGGCGTGCGCGGGCGTGCGCGGGCGTCCTGCGATGCGATGCGACACGGACACGGACTTGGGATGCGGGTGCGGATGCGGATGCGCTGCGCTGCACGTGCGATGCGATGCGATGAGATGAGATGAGATGCCGCCGTGATGGACCAATTCGGTTGAATGAACAGGCGGGCTGGGCTGGGCTGCCCACGATTGGACTGGATTGGAGTTGAAGCGTGTTGATTGATTGGTGTTGCAAACTCAGGGCGAGAACAAGCCAGCAATTGGCCCAAGTCGCGACAGAGTGGAGGGGCGAGGGTTGGCGGCGGGCGGCGGAGGGTTGGGATTGGGCGGAAAATGGGCGGATTGGCTGGGAACTCTGTTCGAAGGGGAAGGGGCGAGAGGAGGGGGCAGGAGCTTGGAGCTTCTCAGGCTTGGTTGGGGCTGGGCTGGGCTGGGACTGGCAACTGGCGACTCTGGGCGAGTTGAGGAGACTGACTGACTGGAGAGGGGAAAGGCCAGAAGGTCGAGACTCAGGACTGCAAGATGATTCGAGGAAGGGCGGGAGCAGCTTTCTTTATCCGAGGGTGTGAATGGCCCAAATCAGCACGCTGTGGGTCCCTCCCTGCTCCAGGGCAGGTCCAAGTGCCAGGTCCAGGGCCCGGGCCAAGTTCCAAGGGAAGGAGGGAAGGGCAGGAAGGGGCAGGAGGGCCCAGCTCGGCGGGAAAATTCAGCAGCTGCTGGTTCTGGGTACGTACCGCTGCGAAGACGGGAGGTACTCCTGCAAGCTGGGGTACTGTGGCGTGCGGTGCAGCCTGGCCACCCGTCAAGTACCCAGCCTGTCGAGCAACCTCCGTCCCTCCGAGCTGGGGAAGGGCCAAGGGACAGTGCGAGGTTGTGAGGGGAAAACGGCAAAAGCTAGACGAGCTCGAATTCCTTTCTGGGAGGGGGGCTGGTGGGGGCAGGTCCTGGCAGGTCCTGGCAAGGGCAGCCGACCATCGGTGATGGCTGGACGGAGGGAAGTTACGGACTTTTGCTTGCCTGCTGCTTGCCTGCGGCCTGTGCCTGTCGACTGTCGACTGCAGTCGTCGTCAAGAGTCGTCATTTTTGATTGATAATCTGATATGATCTCTATAGAATCCTCAACATTTAACCCAAGGCTCACCCTGCCATCGACCAACTCAGCCCGAGACGTGCAGCATCTGATCTGGTCTACTGTGTAGCATACACAGTGGCGGCAGCGGCAGTAGCAGTAGCAGTAGCAGTAGCAGCCGGTCGCAGGAGCAGCTGGCTGCATGCATGCAGTCAGCAAAACGCAACACACACAACACACCAGCCCAGGCATCCAATTCCTTGATCGCCGCCTCAGATTCAGGTTCAGGCCCAGGTTCGGGTTGAGGTCCATAGCACCTGCGTTTGCCAGGGCTAATCCTCCTTCCCTGCCAGCCTGCCCGCCGCACCGCAGTCGACAGAGCTTCTCCTCATCCATCCTCGAGTGACGTGACGTGCCTGCCCGCCCCTCGTTCTCGGGTCGGCCTCTTTTTTTTATTCTCTCTCACATCCTCCGTTTCCTCGCACTGTACGGAAGCAACTTCTGCGCGACGCGTCCGTCCGTCAAGCGATCAGCTTTTTTTTCCCTTTCAAGGATGAGCTTCCGCTTTGTTAAAAGCATGCCTCCCCACCACATCACCGCCGCCAACCCGACCGACTGACTGACTGGGTGATGGGCTGACTGACTGCCAGCCTGAGCATCACCTTCCGTGCATCCCGTTTGACTTTCGTGTTTTTCCTCGCCTCGCCCCGATCTCAAAAGATGTCTCGAGCTGTGTGTGCCGTCGACTTGGAAACGCAGCACCCCCTTCACCACCCATCGCTATCACAAGCTTTTCTTGGGTCAAAGAGTCAAATGTCAAATGCCAAATGCCAAATGCCAGGCCTCTCCGTCCGCTAAGCCGGCCCTACCTGACTCCCCCTCTAGATACCAAACCTGCCTAGGCATTGCTCGTTCAAACATTCGACAAACCAAGCCGTGAGCCGCGGCCCGAGACCGTCGCACGCTGCCCTCCCTGCATCGAGATTCCCACATGGAGAGCACGACATGATTCCCATCCAGCTCTCTACGAGTGTCTACTCAATGCCAGGGGTCCTCCTGCTCTGTTCAGCTGTGTCCAGCCCTGTTGAAGATTAGTCCTTGGTGCGGAGATGCCAAGCTTGACCTTCACATCTGAAGCTCATGTTCTGGCGCACACTGTGCCCAGCTGCTCTAGGCTACGGTGATTTCTATCACCGACACTTGAAACGACCTGCCAGTCCGGACACCAGGAACTAGCAAGCTCCGGGGCTAGAACCATGTGTGATATGCGTGTTAAGTGTGTATGTGAGAGATATGTGTGTGTGTGTGTGTGTGTGTGTGTGTGTGTGTGTCTGCAGCAGCGTGATATAATTATCCCCCCACGATCAGCGCACCTAATCAGCATGCCACACCACGTCCACGGTGTCCATCGAGCTGTTTCGAGGCGGTGCCAGCTCACCGGGAGACGAGTGGCACCTGTCATTCTCGGCTCGGTCGATGCTTTGGGGAACTCGAGGTTGAGAACAGACCTCTCTCTGCTGCCAGAGATGCCTGTCTGCCTGCCTGCCAACTCTAAACCCAGGAAGACCCTCTTCCTCCCGCCGCGTCGGGGCTGGTGACGCAGCCCCAGCCCCAAGACATCGCATCGCGGCTCAAGTGCCACCTTGTCACCGTTGAAATGTCGGTGAGCGCACATCTGCCATGTTGCCTTTTTTGGGATCTCATCTAGTGGCGGTCTACGGTACGGCGTCTTGGAGGCGACTTCACTCCAAGGTCTGACGTCTTTGTTGTTGCTCGGAACAAGCGCACGCCAGCCGTGTCAAAAACTGCATCAAGCCGCCTTCTGAGAAGACTAACCCGCACAGTACTGAAGGTGGCCTGCTAATCAGTATGACACGCGTTGTGCACCCCGCTTCTTCTGGCACCGCCTGGTCCGGTCGTTACTGTGTACCCACAATTCGGGCATCCTGGCAGCTCTGGAGGCCTCGAATCAGCCGGCATCGACTCTGATATACAGTGCAATATACGGAGCATGAAACGCTGCAACTGTCTTCCTCGGCCATCGAGACAAGCAAAACCCAAGAAGGCAGCGACAGCACGTCACGGCTGTCGGTAGGGCTCGAACAATCGGCACCCGGGCTGCGATCCCGCTGAGTCACCGAAACCCAAACCACGCGGGTCTGGAGAGTCCGGACAGCTTCTGTGCGCGATCCCCTTGGCGAACCTGATGTGACCGGATGCCTTCCCCCGGGCTCTCAGACCGTCATCGGCATGGAGTGAGTGCCGAAGATGCTTTCCATGGACCATGCTCTGCCATGTCGACCCTGAATGACGAGTTGGGCCGACTTGACGAGACGAGGGGGATATTCGGAGACGGGAGACCGATGCGGTCATTCTGTCTTCGAAAGGCCGCATCACTCAGCCATCTGTCAGCGGGCGCAATCTGGCAGATCCGTGCTACAGTACGACTCCGCGACATGAGCCTTGCAGATGGGGACTTTTGTCGGCGGCTGCTGTGCGACCCTTCCAACGCGAGGCAGCAGGGATTCACCCATGAGTGATCGCCGACGCAACAGGTCCTAGACACCTGCAGCCTCGCCCGCCCAGTCCCAGCATCGTTTTTCTGGTTGGACAGCAATCACCCGGCTCTCTGAGTGGTTGGAAATTGATTCTCATTTTCTGGCCAACTGGCGGCGTCCGCGGCCAACAGACGACCTGGGCGGGGGCTTGGGGTTGGTCAGAAACTCGGAACCGACAGCCAGTGAGAGACCAGAACGGTGGCAGCGCTGTGATGAGGTGCGACCGGCCCCTTCTCTTGACCAACATTTCGGTCGGGCATCATGTCTGTGTGCCGCCGCGCGGTAAACGCTCATCGACAGTCATATCTCTCGGCAGCATGATGTCGCATCATGCCTACCTGACTGCCTGCCTGCCTCAACGGAATCGATCTTAATTGCCGTCATTTGCTGTGTGTGTGACACACAGACAATATTGGCATCGGCGACGGGTACCGTCACGAACAACCCGGTGGTGGCTTTCGTCCTCAAATTACAGCGTAACATTTCGGCAATCTCACGATTCTCCCGAAATGGTCCCTCACACTTCATACGCCGTCTTTGTTTCTTTTTGTCTCTTCAGCCTTGTCGTCCCTTTCCTTACTCGGATGCTTACTGGCCCGATTTACGACCACAGTGCGGACCGTCCCTAGCCTTTAATGTTGCGATGCATCAATCACAGCGCAGCTCTGAACCCACCGCCTTGGACAAGGCTCGCCAATGGCAACCGTGATGTGTGGCCAGGGAGCAGCTTTCGGTCCCGACTCCCAAGGCGGCCGACGAAAGACGCACCCGCCAGCCATTTCCCACCCAGACCAGGGGCGCGTGGTGATTGATGCCCAGGTGGGACATGATCTTGGCTGGAGGGGCTTTTGCTGTTGTTTCCAATCCACTTTGCCCACGACCAGCTACTTTGCTTGGGGTCAACGCCTCTCACTCCCTCTCAAACGCCCAATAGCGCACTTATCTCGCCTAAACTTACCTTCACATCTAACACGTCAAATGGGTCACCCATTCTCATACTGTTTGGGGATGTTCTCTTCAGCGAGACATTAAATGCAGCCAGCCAATCAAACCTACAAGGCCGGTCGTCTGGAAGGTGATTTGGCGCCGGGTGGATGGTAATCCCCACCCACAGGGCAGGCCGGCTCTCTTTGATTACATGTATGCACATGGTGGCTACCTGCTTTCCCCGATGTCTCACCCCATTTCATCGATTTCACCGCATTTGGCGCGTGCCTGATCCTCTCTATGCCCCGTCCCGTGTGATCTGGACGCGCGCCCCTGCTGCCAGGGAACGCACCAGCCTTGGGCAAGTCTCCTGGAGGTGGAATAGGAGATAAAACCTGTCGGGGCGAAAGCGGCGTTCAGGACAGCAGATGGGCTGATACGTCGACGCCCCGACACTGAGGTGGAGATGTCCCCAAGCCGAGCGAGTGATTTCAGGTATGATCTGCGCTCCTGTGCCGACACTGTTTTATGCTTTTGATGGGCAGGGCTGGGCCTCCGGCACGTGGAAACAAGGCAGCAAGCCGGTACTGCTTTTCGCCCGCTGTGCAGCGGCCGCGATGCGCCGCGATGCGCCGCGTGTGTTGATTATCCCGTGCCGCGTGGGCGCGGCCTGGTCTGTGCCACTGGCCGTGCGGGCGAAAAAGAAGAAAAGAAGAAGCATGGCCTCGTGTCTCAGACATTGCTCGGCGCGTCAGGTCTCTAGGTGAGGCTGAGGAGCGGTGGGCTGGCATTCGTTCCTGGTAGTTAGGCCTGCATGCTGTCACACTGGCAGGCGGGCAGAACTTCCGGACTCTTGTGAGGCGAGTGAGCGCGTGGATGAGTGAGCGGGATATGTTCCAGAGCTATCGGGCCGTCCGCCCCCCACGCCCTCACCCGCCCGCAGCCAAGCCGCAGGGACCCGGCACTCTCCGGGGATTGCTGCAATGTGCTGAGATGAAATGAGATGAGGCATCCGGCCGGGCGTCCGCCTGGGTGGAACCCCTCTTCCTCTCTTTTCCCTCCCCTGCTGCCCGCTTTGTGCGACCGCTGCCTTGCCGGATCTGGGGCCTTGCGCCGAGACAAGTTTCGTGGCCTGCTGGGTTTGGGGAGGGGGGGGGGCTTTCTGAAGGCCGGACCGGTGCCGTCTTTCTGGTTTCGGGATTGAGACAGATGGGCTACTTTTCTTTTTCTTGTGTGTTTGAGGAGGTCTGAGTTGCCTGCGTCATGGAAGAGTGGCAGGGTGGCGTGGCTGAGAGTGCCGGCTTGAGTTCTCGATGGGCTTGGGACCGCGTGATGGATGACGGCTCGCCGTGTTCGGCTGCTGGGCTGTTCGTCTGATGCCGCTGGCCGCTCAGTGGGTATGGCTTGCTGGCGTTTTCCATGCTGATGGTCGTCTGTTGCCTGCTCTGTGGCCTTGTGTTGATGAGTGTTACGATGTAGAGCGGCGTGGTCTGCTCCGTCGACTAGATTTGTACATATGCCGGGGCTTTGGAGTATCATCGGCACTTTCTTGCCACCTCATCTATAGGGTCGCCTCGGTGTACAATTTCCCTAGTGACAATCTGCTTTCAACACGCCACAACTAGTATGACACCATGACAACAAGTCGGTAGATCACGTTACTGTTGAAGAAGTAAGCTGCCACCGCTCAAGGCGTACTGTGTCTAAAATCCAATGCCAGACTTTCCGATGCCCCTGGTGCTGTTTGTGCGGTTACCGTAGAAGACTAGACCTTGAGTGTAGCAAGCAGCGTGAGTCTCTCTGGTCCTAAAGGATATCCCACCTCGTTGTGGTGGCTAAGGACCGAGTGCGTCCAGTGTCCAGTCAGCCCTCTTACAATGTCTTCATGAGCTTGAAGACAGGACTCAAAAGTCTCAAAGCGTATGCCCTTTGACTGCTTTAAGTCTGCTTTTCTGCCTCTTCCAGAGAAGACCTCATTAGAAGCCCTGGTGATTGCATATCGCTCAGCGAAGTTTTGATTGAGCTTTTGCATCAGCTGTGATGATTTTATCTTTATGAGTGTTGCTTCAAACGACGGGTAGTGACGACTTTTCGAGCCCCCGTATATGCGAGCATGAATCGATTTGTGCCTTTCAAAGGTCTGGTCTGTGTCCGCTTGTCTAATTTGAATTTGGAATTTGGAAAACGCTCCCTACTCAGTGTTGTGAACCTGACTTCGGTTTTCGCAAGCTCCAGGGCTGAAAAGAAATATTGTCCGGGGAGCAGACACTGAAGCACAAGATATACAGGTAGCCACCAAGTTAAACTTAGGAATTGCATGTGACTGATTCTGAGAGCGTGGAGAGCTTCTAGAACTACGGTCATGCTTTTGGAAATGTTCAGCCGCCCCACAAGCGACGTTTGAAAGTGTAACGCCGAAGCCGCGAGAAGGGTGCAGCAGTATACACACATGTGCAGAGAATGTACATCACGATCAATGAGGCAAGCAACATATACCCGCCATTGCCGTAATAGAATACGTAGATCTACAGTCTAACTTGCTAGTGCTGAGATATACATGCCACACACCGGCACACATTGCATCTTTGATCTCACTTGAGTGCTTCAACTTAAGTTGTCCACTTCACAGTGCAGCGAGGAGATACGGATCTAGTTGTGGCATCCATATCTGTACACACTGCAGATGAGATCAGTGACATATGCGATGACATTTTGTTCCTCTCCTGGGATTCATGTTCCAAATTGCACTTAAGGATCTTCTGCAATCTAATATAGCTTCAAGCACGTATCGGCAGTTTTCACTTGTATTGGTCACAGTGAGATAAGAGTCATGCTTTTGAGATGGGATGGCAAAGTGATATTTTCGATGGAACCCTTGCCACAAGGTGAGTCTCTCGGGATCATTGCCAAGGTGATTTGCGTGCAATATCCCATTGAAGCGACGAATTTGTCCAAAGTACCGTCAGTTGTCCCGCTTCAAGACTTCCATGCGCATGCCGATGCTTTTGCCACTCCACATTGTCACTGTCACATTATCCAGCCCTGAAAGCGATCACAGATAGGGGTCTGCTCCGTATTTCTGACTCATATGAACCTAAATATTTTCATATAAATCTAGTAGGAGTTTGGATAACTAAATACACACTTGGGCTGAAATACATGTTCACGAAGTCCCATGAAGTTTTGCCATTGTGACAGTGCAGACCGAGTGGGTTGAACATCAAATTGGGATCTCATTGGCATCATTGACCACTACATTCATCCTGAAGCATTACCTATCGAGCATCTCATTCACGGCATTGAAGGCACACTTGGAATCAGCACCACTAACACATGGGCTTTAATATTGTGATCAAGCTGTTGTGCTTACCGAGAAGGGGTTTCTCTCAAACCTGTCTCCAACCCTGTAGACCGAAAGCCACACAAATTCAATCGAGAGACCAATTCAATCGAGAGACCAATTCCTTTTGTGATGATGGGATTCCATTGGATGTCATGAGGGTTTGGATCCGCTTGAGAGCTTTTGAAGCCCCATGCCCAGCATCACGCTACCCCCACCCTTTTCCCCCCACCTGACCAAATAGGAGGGTAAGGGTCTACGCGCCACTAAGCCACAACAGCTCATCTGATGCATCAACTTCTGCATCTACTCACCAACACGAACACCTTCCTTCACCTCAACCCTTTTCGCACAACAGACCCGCATCTGGAATCATTTTTAGTCATAAGGGACGACTGATAACGTTCCATTTCGATGAATGGCCATGACATGAGGTGGCTTAACAGGCTGTCTCGAACTGCACGCGGGTGCCCTGCAGGCGCTCCCTATCTTCGGGCGTTGCCATGCTTCGTTCGGTCCCTCTCGCACGCGAGCAGCCTCTTCAGCCGTTTCAGAAGGAGAGCACCTGTGTCTGCCCCTGTCGATGCTGCACCGGAGGGGACACGACGCAAGGAGCACTTGAAGCAAAGCGAGGCCCGCTCTATCGCGCGAGAAACATGTGCCACAAACGCTCCTCCTTATGGCACAAAACGGTCTCAAGGGGGGCCAGTAAGGGAACGGAAGGATGCAGAAGGCCGGACATATTGTGAGTAGGCCATTTTCACAATACGTAACGCCATTTATCTCTAACCAAGGGTGGTCATCTTCCTGTTGACACAGTCGTTACGGGCACTGGCTGGACATATCACTGTCGCCACGTCACTTCTGAGGAAGGAGGCCATGTCAAGGCCGCATTTACGGCAAGAGCTTCTTTCCTCAACCCATCGACGAAACTTCTCGAGTATTCTAGGCCAATAAAAGACAGGCCCCTACTCATTATGTACATGCGCGACTTCGTTGAAGACGACGAATTCTGGGACGAAAATTGTGTGCTCTGTGATTTTGCCACCGCGGTCACTGAACGAGAAAAAGCAAGTAAACCGCGGACTGATCAATGCTGCATCCTCACCAAGTCAACTGAAAACTAATGAGATGCTTACACAGTGCAGGAATGGATACTCGCCAGAGAAGGACAGCAGGCCTGTCGAGTTCATTATCGTTCAGTGAGCAAGTTTCTTAAGCCACTGGGCATACTCTTGAAGTTACAGCAGCTGGTCCTAACGAGGGGTACAGGGCGCGCTTCCACTACAATGCCAGGACGCCTGACGAGCCTTGGCATATCACAGTCGACTTTGGCACCCGTACCACATGGAACAATGGCGACGGCTTCTTCCGCCAGGGTTACCACATCTATGCTAAGAATAATGATATAAAACAGGGATATGCAGCTTATAGCTCACCTATCAACAGGCAGCCAGTTGGCAGGATAAACCGTAATGGTGCCGAGCCGGGAACGTCGACCTCAGTAGACAACATGGAAGCCCCCAACTGGATACCCTGGGGCACGAGAGACTACTATCGACATCCCAACTCCCGGGGATATTTGCACAAAACAGCTCACCGTAGCCTCAAACCCCCAACGGTCCTGTCCGAGGCCCGAGCTCGGAAAATGCCTGGGGATAAGCGCAAGAAAAGGCACCCGATCCAAGATGAGCTTGATGACATGATCAGCTGTATTCACGACGGAACTTTGAAACCGGCGATCCCAGCCAAAGGGAATTTCATGGTCCCTGGCCTCTCCGGAGACCTGATACATGTCCGCCAAGCAGTCCTAGACTTCAAAAAGGCAGGGAAAGAACTTCCTGTTGCCTGGCATGTGGTTCTGCAACGCTTTCATGAATCCAGACGCCGCTTAAAGAAGACTGCCAGAGCCCTCGGTGCGACCCGTGCTCGGTTGGCCTTTGACAAGACCAGGAGGACCACCAGGACCACAACGCGGTCTCGGGAAGGCCCTCTGAAGTCTAAAAGATTGAACGGGACGGAAAGATCCTTTCGGCCAAAATCCAAGATGCATGCTTCGTTGGATGAGTCCCTCGGTGCCCGCCGAGATCGTCCGGGGACTGAACGGCCCCAAACAAATGGCAGTAGCATGAATAATGTGGACGGGGGAGCAAGGCTGAAAAGTCGGCCCCGAGCAACGGCGGGGTCTCCGAAGCCCAAAAGCTCAGAGGCAACAAAGCCAGGATCAAGTCCCAAGCTCACGATCCGTGACCCATTCGATACAGATGCCGGCGCCCGCCAGGGTGTTTCGGCGTCGGGGGAGCTCGACTCAAAAGCTAGCCGCGGGAAGAGATTCGGGAAGCCGCCTGGCGACGGAAAATTCGAACCCAAAGGCCGATCCCGAAGAATTATGAGGCGCCCCAAAGGCACTACGAAGGATTTTGACCTGGGACACGCCTTGTTGAATGCGGCGACTGAGCCAGGAGTATCCACCCACCATAGGCAGGGGCCAAAGGCAAACAAGCCAGATTGGGGCGAGGGTTCAGCCCGGCCACGCACGAAACGTTTCCAGAAGTCCTCGTTGGGCAATTCATTGTTGAACTGGGGCAGCCCAGTCTCAAGTGGGGGTGGTCGGTCCTCTCCGGCGCCCAGCTCGCCGAACAGGAGACCCGGAACATCTGGACGCCAGGAGAGCGGCTCAGACACCCGCAAAGCCGGCAAGAAGAGGGGCTCGCCCCTGCCGCCCGCGGACGCTGACCTGGTTTCGGAAAGTGGGAAGAAGACGAAGGGCCCGTATAAGGCACAGCGGCCCAGGCAGACGCGAGCCCTAAAGACGACGCCAGCGTGGGTGCTGCCGCGAAGTGGGCAAGAAGCCACACTCTAGTGGGACTTCAGGATTGACGCCTGAAATCGCTCAGTTGATGTAGAGTGGGCTCGTTAGCATGAGGGTTGGGATGAACTGGGACGTTGAGTACCGGAATGGAAACGAGAAAAGGCTAGAAGAGCGCTCGTTGAGTTCCCAAGGTTGCTGTGGATACTGACTCCAGGTGGCCACTGGCAGATCACCGTGGTCATACCCATATGTGGCTTCGGCCACACTGTGTTTTTTTAAATTAACTGTCCATTTGTCTGTCTGCTGTCTGCTTAGCTTTCCGACTGCCCCTCTCTGAGCTTATGCATAAAGTCGCATATGGCTTAATATATATCCTTATTCCCCTCTTTTAAAGAAATATTATAACACTTCTTTCTACCCTTATTTTTTAATCTTCTTTTAATCCTTTTAAGGGTAATTTTATTATTAATAATAAAATAATAAATTTAATAAAGTATAATATTTATATTTTTTTTTAAAAAAAGTTTAAAAATATTTTAAAGTACAGTATTTCTTTATTTTAATTTTTATTAAAGTTAATAGCTTTAAAGTTAAGTATTAATTATAATAATAACTTATTTAATAAAGATTTTCTTAAAAAGTTATATAATTTTATAATTTCTTTAAAATTTCCTTAAAAAGATATATATTAATATAAATAAATAAGAATTAAGTTTTTAATTAAGATTATATTTATAAGATTAATTTTATAAAGATTATTTTAGTTTTTATTATATAATTAATTACTTAATTAATAATCTTAAGCTATTTATATTAATAATTTATAGCATTATTAAAAGCAATTCTTATTAGCTTTATTTATATAATTATTATAAAGCTATTATTATTTTCTTAGCTATTAGCTATAATTATATTTAAAACTTATTATCATTAATATTATTTTTTTAACGTTAAGTATTTAAGCATTTATTATTACATGAATGGACTGGATGCATATTGCTTAAGAAGCATATGTATACAGATTAAAAACGAGACCACCCACTCATACCCATATGTATCAACCGGGGGAAAACCTTAGATACCCCATAATAAATACAGCTCACAAGAGTGACAGGTACAGTAGCATATTGGCCCTTCATGCTGTGTGCTGCCTTGATGAAAAGGTGAAAGACGTCCTATTCCTCGTAAAGCGTGGCTAGAGAAAGGGGTAGAAAGCACATGACCAAACATAAACGGACATCTACAGCTTGTCAGTTGAGCTCTGGTGATTTTTCCCTACTCATGTCCATTGCCGAAGTATGTATCACTACTTCTGAATGCAGTGCGAACCGTGGCATCGGCCTTTTCGCGATTCAGAACGTCTTCGCCCATTTCGCATCCCCAATTTCCTCTGCGCTCGGTTAGACCGTATTGTGTAGGCCTCGGTATTGTGTTGCGAAAAGAAAGGTGACGCCGATTGCACTTTCCAGCCTGCGGCTTGCTCGAGGCCATGATGCTACAGGCATTGCCGCATTTCCTTGCGTGCACTGAGTCTTTTACACCCCTAATGATGTGCTGTCTTCCTCTGCTGCCATGGCTTTTTTTCTCTCTCCGCGAGTTCCCAAGTGCCTGCCGTCTTCTGTTCACCGTCATCCCCTCCGGGAGTCTTGTATTCCAATGTGGAAATGCATAACGTTTCTTCCGCCACTCCTTTGGCCGTGAGCCATCCCTTCAAGTTGTGCCCGCTTCCCAGGCCGCCCGGGTTGAGCAGTGATGGCATACGTGCCACGGCTGTTTCTGGTACCTTCAGAATCGGGGAGAGCTCAGGCGCTCAGATACAGGAGTGCTTGAGCACCACGGACTAATCCTCAGTTTCTGTCTCGACCTCGTGCTCGATGTCCTCGTGCTTGCTGAGCTCGCACTCGATGACCTCCAGGGGCTTGCCGCGGACCGAGAATCTGGCCGCCTCCTCCTTGCTCAGCTGGGAGGTAGAACTATCTCGATAGCCTCATCATCCGCCCAGATGGACACCCAGGAGAAGATCGGCTTCCCAGTGACACAGCTGACGATGTCCAGCTTTCCGATATTCTTGGCGGCGATCGTTGTCCGAAGTAGAACAGCGAGGGCGTGGTCGTCGTGCTTGGACAGTAGGAATCGCGCCGGCTCTGTGCTGCCGTCGTGGGGGACACCGGAGGCGAGGAGGATTGCTTTCCAGGTGTAGCTCCACGCATGTTGGTACTCACTCATGTCCAGGAACTGAGACTCGTGCATGGTGAAGTGGATCCACTTGACTGGAGGAAGTTTGACGTGGAGACATGATGGCTTTAGGGACAAAAGTCTGGCCATTTTGTTTCGTTGGTAGTTGACGACGATGAGAGAAATAGTTTTGGGGCCGAGGGCGCAAGCGAATTTGCTGAGGGTAGGCTGAACTTGGTGACAGCCTGGAGCGCTGGTCTGAGTGTAGATTGATGGACGATCTTAAAAACTACTCCTATGTGGAGGCACTTGCTATATTTATAGCATTAGTTTCCTTTCTGCGTGCATTGTTCCAGTCGCGATGCCTGATCCCAAAAAGGGACCCATAGGCAACCAAGCTTACTGAGAGCAACTATTGAGATCGAGGCTTCGTTCTCTGGGAGATCTCACCACATAGGCAATGGTCATATGAAACAAGGGACTTGAGGCATTGCCATCAAAGAACTGACGCCATGACTTGATAGCATAAAACAGACTGTTGTATTCTGAAAATCAAAGTGGTTTGTACTTCCTCACAAACAATTCCTCCAATTTAAGACAAGCCCAACCTAAGTAGAACAGTCTTTGTCAAAATAACCACGCGTTGAATGTTCCAGTGGCAAAGCATTTCACAAATTGTTCGCTTCTCCTCCAAGCCTTTGAGTCTGAAAACACTCCGTAACACAATTCGAAGTCGAGAGGGCTTGAGGAACATTATGACTACGATGAGAGCCACTGGTAACTGTGTTACCATCGATGTAAGGAAACTGTTGTCTATCTTAAGGAGGGACAGAGAACTGGTCGTAGCATTGAAACCCTCATAAGCTGATTACAAGAGATGAAGTTCGTGTGGGATCATCTACCCCGGAATAGCCTGTTATGGTGCAACCTGTGTTGGGATAACCTGTCCTGGTTTTAGCCCGTCTTGGGATATGGAATTACCCGCCTTGGAAATGGGATAACCTGTCGTGAACGTTTGAGTAGCCCGTGCCGAGTTTTCGAAAAGTTTTCAATAGCACATGCATACCAGAAAGATGCCGCGAATCAAGAAGGTCCTCAAGCACTTGCCAAGTTGCAGCCTGCGTTACAGCCTTCATATTCACCAGGCCAAAGGTCTGAGACATATGTACTATGTGCTGATCTTCATGCTATATGGCTTCTCGGTCCTTGCGAGAGAGAACGTCAGTGATGTTGGCAACAGGTCATACATTTGTCCTATGCTGGTGGAATGTTTACACTGAGACATTCTTAGTATTTAACTTGCTGTTCTGATCCCCTTATACTCAGAGCTACCAATCAACACCAAAGTTAGTGTGGGTACACTCTTAATGAGCGAAGCGGAAGTCCAGTCTTTTGCTGCCCTCACCCTTTGTCGTCTTGATATAACGATCTTTCTGTTCCGGGGTCATCTCACTCCAGATCTTGTCTCTTGACTTGTTCCTCCACATGTAGTAACCCTTGACGAAAACTGTCATCACCACGTTCCATGCGACGAGCGCTAGTAGAACCTTGTTTCCGCGACGGTACAAAGGCTTGTCGTCTTCCCGGTAGATCTGGGACGCGATGACAGAGCTAGCCTGACAGATGTTGTACATGGCACTTCCGACTGTGCGAGTGCGCACTGAACCGGAGTTGCGAGAGACGAGTGAAACTGCGGTAGGGATTAGACAATTGTAGGAAACGGGGAATGCGGGCTACTTACCCATGATCGAGTGGATGTAGGGGAATCCAATTAGCATGATGGTGACCGTGTCCCATGACCAAGGACTCGCATCACCAGGGAGCAACTCCAGAGCGAGCAGCAGAGGCAAGCACCAGAGCGAGTAGAACAGCGTAATGGCCATGCGATTGTTGATCTTCTCGGACACTCTCGTCCAAAAGAGAAGCTGGATAAGGAAGAGCACATAGGCCGGTATGGTCAACAAGTTGGTCTTGAATGTGTCAAAGCCATGGTTGCGCAAACTCAGGGTCAGGTAGGCGCTGACAGGGCTCGTGGGGATCAGCAACGTGAAGCTGATGAGATACATTGGCCAAAGGTCGTAGTCCATCCTGAAGTCAATGATGCCCACAGAAGCTCAATGTTAGGCCTTGACGATTATGCATACCACCCTGCATACAACGTTAGTCATAGAACAAAGGCACACACTGACTGACATACCTTGGCAGGGTCGTCGCGCAACACGCGATTGACCATGACGATCTCCTCGCGCTCAGTAAACCATCCATTCTTTCCTCCGAACCGACTGGCGGTCTGCGTCGGGCTGGGAGGCAGGTAGAACCACGAGAGCACACCAATGATGGCAGTCAAGCCTCCTTCAAGGGCGAACAGCCACCTCCATCCCTCCCAACCCGCGATGTCGCGCATATGCAAAATGCCGAAAGCCAAGAATGCCGCCACGATGAAAGTGGCCTACGACGAGCAGTAGAAGTAGCTCATGCGCACCGGCATCTCGGTGTTCTTGTAGAAGTAGCTGAGGTACGGAATCGCATCTGGGATGAAGCCGCCCTCGACGAGGCCAAGCAGAGCGCGCGTTGTGTAAGAGGTCTTCTCGCCGGTGATGAAGCCTTGGCAGATGCCAATGACACTCCAAGTGACCATCTGGATAGGGATCCAGACATCAGGCCCAAGCTTCTTCGAGATCATCTGCGACGGCACTTCTGCAGAGAGAAAACAGAGGTAGAAGATCATCACGCCGTGGTTGTACTGGTTTGTTGTGAGTCCGAGGTCCTTCAACATGTTGTCGGAGAGGGCTTGCGAGATCATGATGTTGCCTCGATCGAGTTGCAGCGCTGAAACGACGTCAGAGAGAGCGTATGCACAAGAATTGTGTGTTGCTCACCAAAGAACACCAGACAGACCCAAGAGCACACAGAGTGACTAAGACTGAAGGGAACTCACATAGCCGCCCCTTCTTCTACTGCAGTGCAGCCAACATGCTCTGATAGTACGAGTTTGCACTGTAATAGAAGCGTCAAGAGGAGAGTCAGTGATTCCAAGGGAGCAAGGGACTCACCAATTCTGGGCACTGCCCATCGCAGTCCGACTCGGAATCAAACGTGTTGACAAGGAATTGCCCGATTACCATAGAGTTGGAAATGGCGAGAATGAATGGTAGAAGCTGCATGATTGTTGTGAGTGTGGCGAGTCTGGGAATGATCATCCACCGAGAAAAGAGGAAGGCAAGAAAACTGTTCTGGCTGTCAGCGCAGGGCACGTCGGTTGACGGAAAAAAGTACGATTTCGAAAATTCGTATCGAGAGTTTCCGCGCTTTATGGAGTATTATGCTAGGCAAGTTGCAGCAATATTATCAACCTGTTAATCGACTAGACGACATGAGGTGGAAGAATTGATCTTCTTCTCCTTTCTGCGAGAGGCTTGGCTGAAATTATATATTTCTATACTATTCTGAATTCCATGATTGCCCAAAGACATAGCGCCCTGAGGTACTGTATAAAATTTACGGTGAGGTCATTATGAGTGGACCTGACTTTACCATTCCAATACCTGGTTTGAGTCACGCCCAATATATCCAACTACTGCCGACTAACACATGAGGCCACAGAGTAATCTTTTGTCTGAAATAGGGCTGAATACAGTGAATATGATCAGTTCCAGAGTCAGGTGTCCTCAATTTGAATTTGTTCCCAGTTACTTTCGTACCATGTAGAGTCCCATCTCTCTGGGCGATACGTAACAGTAGCCAAAGTAGCAACGTATATTCTGTTCCAAGTACTGTCATTCCCCGAGTAGTTACATCTTAGGCAGTAGATTCTAGGTGAACAATTGGATTGATCTTTGTTTCAACTTCGAGGAGCAGGTTAGCATGTACTGTGATCTACTCGCTATCGGTATCATCCCACTCCTCTGAATTGCGAGAGACCTCATCATCAGACGACATCTCCAACTGCATTGACCCAAGCCCCTGCCCCAGATCACGAATCTCGGCTAACGAGATGAAAGATGAGTCGTCGTCCTTGAATCGAGTTTGCACCAGGTCAGTCGTGGTAGGGCTGCCGGCCAGAACTTTAACAGTTGCGGCTGTGTCGCCCTTTCTGGCGAGGCTCAAAAGGGACTCAAGAATTATCAGCAAGCCTTCCTCAAATTCGTCTGTCTCGTAATGCGATATGCCATCTATGATGCATATCAAAGTTACTTGTTCTGGGAGGAGTTGGACCAAACGCCCGAAAAGCGCGCAAAGTTTCGGCAGGCTCCCATCTTTGATTGCCATCTCAATGTCCACTTGACTGAAAGGATGATCCCCACTGTCCTGCCTCTTCGTGGTGTCGAACGGCCAGAGCTTTGTCAGTTGTGCAATGAAGCTGCAAATCATGGCTCCAGGACCCCGGTGTTGATCGTCACGCTCTGTACGGCTGCCACAAAAGAAGATCAGGGCAATCTGCCGCTGACCTGCTTTCCGGAAGGTCTGCGTGAGGGTGGCGCAGAACACCGAAAGTGCTGAGACAGGCTCGGAGGCTGATCGAGACCGGCGGAATTCCCCATGCACGAGCAGCTCGCTGGATCTGTTGGTCACCATCCAGTCGTGAAATTGCTTCGTGGAGACGATGAGGTCGGCTTTGCGTTTCTCCCTGAACGGGATTGACTGCTCTTCGTTTTCGAGAATAGCGTTGAGATCGACTTCTTCTATCGACTCGAAGCGAGTGAGAAGTGACCTCAGCGCAGAGATACTGAATTGTGCAGGGGAGGTTGGTCGCGAGTGTGCTGAAGATGGTGACGGCTGTCGTGCTTCCAAGTACTGGGGTGAGGAATCCCAGGGGGAGTTTGACGGGAAGCCAATGCTCTGGGGCCCGTAGACCGAGGAGTTCGGTGGGCTTAACGCAGAGAAATTCAGGAGCGGAAATGGCATCGTCGGTGGGAGCATTAGAGGATTTTGGGATGATGAAGTCGAATTGGGAGTAGATATCGTAGTTTCCCTGAGCTTTTCAATCTGTTCTGTCAGATGCATGATGTGGTCTGTCGAATTATCAGCGGTGTTCAATACTAGTAGAGGCCATGGGGAGGCATGGAATTCGTGGGTGCTCATACCATTGAGCCTTCGCTTCTCCTCCAATTCCCTCTGCTTTTCTTCCAGTTCCCTCCGCTTCTGCTCCTGTGCTTCATCCAGAAAGTCCATGAGCGTATTCCGAAGATATGCATCGCTAATTTCTCTTTGATCAAGCTTTTGTAAAACGGAGCTGACCTTCTCCGACATTTCTCTCTGACCCAAGAACGAGAGGGCGGTGCCTAAAGGGGGTTCGTGTGTCAGAGTTCTTGTAAGTACCTGGGTGGATGTGTGCCATCATATTCTTACCTTTTAGAACAGTATCGAGCTTGTGCTTAGTCTCCGAAATGTGTGACTTCTGCGCGGCCTCAAGAAGCTGGTCGCTGCGGATACTAATCTGTTCAATACTTTCGAGAGCTTTCTTTTGATAATCTTTCCCGCGGAACGTCGCAGACAGGGCCTTTCTGGCTACATAATTTTCGAGAATGAGTTAGCGAAGCCCAAAGCGTGACGGAGAACACAGCATTTGAGATACTCACCATTGCTCTCTAAGAAAAATCCAATCACGTTTTCGATCGCGTTGAGTGTCGCAGCAATCAGCTCTATGGATGCCTCTCGGATGGCCATGTCTCTGGGAAAAGTTGCGAGGAACAGTTCAATGCTACTGAATTTCCGTTCGAGGTCTTGTTGGTCGAGGCCCGTGGTCATGGTTCCTCGTACGCGCGAGGTCGTTTCGAATGCCTTGAAAACCCAAGTCAGCTGCGACTGCAAAATCATCATCAGGTACAGATAGAGATCAAGTGTGTTTACATCAACGATGACTTGGACAGCTGCTACAACAGGAGTCGTGTAATCCATCTGGGGTACAAATCTCACAGCTTGCCTCGCCACGGGGGCCGTGTGGTCGATAAATGACCGTCTTTTCTTAGTGTAGGATTTTGCATGACGACCCCAAAGACCTTTTGTATCCCCGTCGTAGAATTCTCTGGCTTTCTGGAGCTGGCCGTAAATGTCCTCCCACGTCAACTTTTGGCGGATACTGTAGTTGAATCCCGACTTCTCACGTCCTTGCGGCTCATTCGGCCACAGAGCCCTGAATCGATCGAGGGATCCTTGGAAAATGCTGTCCCAGAAGGTCATGGGTGTTGTGGCCGGCACAAGTGCTTGACTCTGCTCGAAACTGCTTTCGCCCTCCGTGATTGTATCTGTTAAGTGAGGTGCCAATTCCTCCCCACTCGCGAGGCCGGATCTCGATGATACCGCTACATATCGTCTGGAATGGGAGTCATACGTGGACAGAGGGTGCTTGAGAGCATTGTGCAGGTCCTGGAGGTCGTCGTCAATGAACTGGACTGACATTGGTGGGCGTTCGGTCCTTGGTATCGAATTCGACGCGGGCCAGTCCCCTTGTTTCAAGGATGAGGAGTCTACAGGGAACATGTTGGAGCCTTGACATGTCTAATCCTGCTGAACTTCGCCTGTGGTATGAGAGCAAGGCCGGTCGAGATTGAAGAATCCTAAGGCATCCGAATTCAGTACTTGCCGACGAGAAACGTGCCGCGAATCAGGCAACGAGCAAACCACGCCTGTTGTAGAACAGAGCTGCAAGCTGAGACTCGGTCATCAATCAGGCGAATGACCACCACCAAAGGGTTGAGATAGGATTCGTTGCCGCCGTAGTGTAACATTTGGCGCTCTCCTCCATCGGGACCGACCATTGGTATTGGGCTGTTTCTCGGAGGACTGCATCTAGGCGTCAGCTGGTGCAGAACAACCCAGCTACATTCGTACATACCCATGCAGGTCATGTTCCACACAACCCATGCAGACCCAATCGAAAAATCTTTGCTTTTTATTTTGTGGCGTCAGCCATCCCTCAAAATCCAGCCTCCTACCCCTCCCCCACTCTCCGTGCAACCCACCCCCCACCCAAACTATTTGCAGCTGGTTGTAAGCACTTGATTTTAGTCCGTTGATACAGGCTGCCTTAGAATTCAACTTTCAGCTTGAGAGCAGGCTCTGGGTGCTTAACTTCGAGTCAGGAACTTGGTGTGAAACAACACCAGCTCTGATCCATGACTCCACCACTCAAGTATCACTGCAGAAATCGAAACATAGACTCTTCACCCAGCTTCATTTCAACCACGCTACACCTGTGGAATGACTGAACAGTCGGCATCACCCTGTCCTTCGATATGGCTTTGAACGAAGGGCCTTTCAAGGACAGTTCAGTCCCCGGGCTCAATTATCAGAACTGGGCCGAGTTTCACTCGCGTACGCGAAAATCAAACTTGTCCTCCATCGATATCTTGCTGCCAGACGAGAAAGATCTCGGAAAATCGACTGAGCTTGGAGTCCCACCTGAGAACGGAAATGTTGAGCTGCCTGAGAGGATCAGGATCAACTCAAATCATGTGGTTCATCTCCTCAGGAGACTCCGAGGTTCGGATAGTTCGGAAGACGCGCCAGTCATCTTGTTCCGCCCTTACAAGACTTTGGTCTTCTTTGATCAAGACATACGGAATACGGTAACGGAGCTGGAGAAGAAAACACACAGGACCCGCGCAGCCGACTCTCCAATGACCCCTTTTGTTCCCAGTGGTGATGAGATTGAAATGGTCCATCTGAGGTGTCTCATCCATTTCATGGATTTACACCTGCGTACCAGAATGGCCTTTCTGCAGAAACCGGAATGCCACACCATTTTTTTCAGCGACCTCTGGCTTCTTTATCAACCCGGCGATTTTGTCATGAGCCGCGACTTATATCAAGCACACCAGGTCATCAGGGTTGAGACCAAAAGAAGGATTGTTGAGCATAATGGAAAATTCGTAATGGATGACGATTCTATCGTCATCCATTGTGTCTGCATCGACTTTGACGGCAAGTGGCTCGGTCCTGTCCTCCGAAAGGTTGCAGTAAAAGCATGGGGACTGTCCAGACATGTTGAGTCTCTGGAGTTGATGCCTCTGACCAAGGCCGTTGCCCGGAAGCCGGCTCTTCAACAGGATCTCATTCAACGGGGGCAAGCCTTTGTGCAGGTCGCAAAAGTCTCACCCATGCACTATGACGGGAGTACTCTTGACTCGAACATGCAAGTTAACGGCACTATCATCGTCGATTTTCAAGAGGCATTGAGGGACGAAGAGCATTTCAAGGATTGGAGGAACATCATTGAACACAATCTTACAGAAGCTCGAATGTTTGCTACAGGCTTTGGAGAGGATGGTGATGAAGCTCACACTTACATCTCGGAGCTTGGTAATCCTCATGACGACTCATACGTGGACAGCATGAGGTACCAAACATACATCCGGAGCCAGCTTACAGTCACCGAGTCCGGAGATCGGATTCAACCTATCACTATCAGTCCTCGGCGCTTGGGTCAAGTAGGGACTGTGACAGAAGAGGAGTTGTTGATCATGAATTACCGTGTGTTCGGATACATTCTAGACACCAGCACTCTTCTAGCCAGCGGAAAATGGGGTGAGACACTCACACATGCTCTGGCTTTCTCATTATTGCTAACACGATTCACTGGCAGGTGTATTTGATCTTTCACTTGCCTCACCAATGGCAACCAAATCAAGCCTCCAGTTTGACGATTTAGTCATACCGAGCCACATCAAAGAGATAGTGAAGAATCTGACCACTCACCACCTCAAGCAAATGTCCTCAGTGAGGATCGCCGGTGACAGTTCCATCACTGCCAACCAGGAAGGTATCTTCTAACCCTACAGTGAATTTGGAGGATTGCTTCCACACGGCTTTGCTAATCAAATGGGTTCTGTCTCTCAGGCGAGGGACTAGTCTTACTACTTCATGGCGCGTCCAGTGTTGGAAAGAAGAGTACTGCTGGTAAGCTTCGGATGCTCTTTTCCTTCTTACCTTTTCTTTTTTGCGTCTGTGTACTGACTGTATGTTTCCACAGCATCCATCGCAAGAATGGCTGGCGTTCCCCTGCTTCACGTTTCTACAGGTGAGAGGACCTTGGTGGAAGTAATGCTCGTGGTGCACGGGAATGTGAAATAATGTAACTGACGAGGATACAATACAAGAACTGCTCTTGGACGACATTCGAGGTGACTCCACCACAAAGCTTGAGGAATCCTTCACCTGGGCAAAGCGCTGGGGCTGTATTGTGATGCTCAACCAAGCCGATGCCATCCTGCAGGGAGATCCGGACTATGGCAATGAATACATGTGGGAATTCGCCCCCCAAAGTATGTCTACACCTTCTTGGTAGTCATTGAGAGGGCCATTTTATGGCTTTATCTAATTGTTACGACAGGTGTCCTCCGCAGGGCTGTGGTACGAATGCTTGACACATTCACTGGCATCACGTTTCTCGTTGCCGATCGTGCACCATTTCTACGTCTGGAACCCTTGGGATCGTCGGCTCTCGAAATTCTGTCGCGGATCAATGCCAGCTTGCACTACCCACCCCTCGATAAAGTTCAGACTGCTAAGATTTTCGAGATCAATATGCGGTGGATAAGTGATGTGTTCTCGAAGCAGCATCGGGACAGTGCGAGGACCGCTACCCTGGTAGTCGATGAAGACATACTTGAATTCGCCAATGCATTCTACAAGCAGCGCGGTCCGAGAGATCGTTGGAACTGCACGCAAATTCGAAAAGCATTCAGGACTGCGTTGGCGCTGGCTCAGGCAGATGCTGAGTTGTCCCATGAGGCTCAATGGGACAATGAATCTCACGAACCTTGGAGGGTCACTTTGAAAGCATCGCACTTCGAGGTCGTTGCTAGGAGCATGGCCAAGAGCGGAATAGCAGCGCCACCGCCGCCGCCACCACTCAACTATGGCCAGCCAGCAGGGAGGACAAAATCATCGAAACACGGCGCCGTCCCACCGCCCCCAATGGGGCAGCGTGTACCACCACCACCGGGAGCAGCGGCCCAGTGGAATCAAAGGGTTCAGCAGCCACCACCACAGCAGCATATTCCTCCAGGTACCTTATTGCCAAATAGTCGGCAGCTGCCGCCAGTTGAATACAGGACACAAATGCTGGCACCGCTACCGCCCATGCCGCCGGCGCCAGTCCCGCCACCGCCTATGCAGCCGGTAGAAGTTATAGACGTTCCTAGGATTGCGCCTATGCGGCGCAAAGAATTTTTCCTGGCGTCTCCTCTGTCTCTGGAAGCGAAACCGGAACTACTTTTTCTCGACTGGGACGCTTTCAAAGATGCTCGCTCGAGAAGAGGCGGCTCTTGTTCAGCCATCGACGTCCTGAAGGGGGAGCCAGTGGTTTCGTTTGACCAGGAAGCTCAGGATAGCGTCTGGTGGTCCCGATGGGGCGACCGCAACCGAGAGGACGAGCCCAGGGCCAAAGGGGACGCGAGCGCCGCGATTCCCTTCAAAGGGACAGATCCGGCTAATTCTCAGTCCTCACCGCTGCCAGAACGTATCCGAATCCATTCCAAGTACATCACCGCGATTCTCGAAGAAATACACGGCTCCAAGATCAGCAGGACCTCGTTCGCAATGGTCAGGCCGTTCAGGGCATTGACTTATTATGAAGACAAAATCCGAGCCAAGTACAATGAGCTTGCCATTAAATCCGAGACCACAGTCGGTGGGCCCGAAGTTGAAGCAGCGGCTGCTGATCCCGGCTCTGCAGAGCAGCCTGGTCATATCGCCACTGATGTGCAGCCGGGTCATCCTAGCGTTAATGCAGATGATGCACCTCCTCTGAAGCAAAAGGTCAGGCCACCAAAATCCGACTCCTATTGGACATCCTCATTATCTGATGATGGAGAGACGATCGACACTTCATCCAATACCGCTTTCCAGCATCTAGGTTGCCTTGTGGAGTTCATCGACATGGTTCGGGCAAGGGGTCAGTACCTACTGAGCGGCAGCTGCAGCAAGGTGACCTTCGCGGACGTGTGGCATCTCTTCAAGCCCGGAGATGAGGTTCTCGACCAGGAGAAACGACAGGCCTACAGGATACTGAGCGTCAACACTTCCGGCCACCGAACGTTACCTCCCTGGAAAGACCTTGATTCCGAGCAGCCCAAGGGTCAGGAGCCGACCATGACACTTCATGCTGTTCATATCACGTTTGATGGTGAGATGCTGGGTTCAATAAGGACGACGTTCGACATCGCGAGCTTCGAGGGAGAGGCGGAAATCACCTCGCTGCCTGTCTTGCCACTGAGACTAGTCAAGGATGCAGATTCTGAGGCGCCAAAAGATGCAACAGCATTCCGCCAAGATCTGGTTGACAGGGGAAGGATGTTTGTCAAAATGGCAAGATCCACGCCGATGCACTACAACGGCCCTCTGCTCTACCCGAGAGAAGAAGTCGACAGCCAGGTCGTTGTAGATTTCGAGCAAGCCTTTGCCTTTTGGGGCCATTCCCCGCACTTCAGGAGGCCCTTCGTCGAAAGGCTGATTGGCAAGCAAATCGGACGGCCTCACCTCCACATACAATGTCTGGCAAGCTGCTGCGCTGGGGAGAACATCCATCACGACGCCTACGCTGAGCAGAAATGGAACGAGGCCTACATTGGAACTCTCATTCCTGACCCACAAGACCGAACGCAGAAACCGTCTCTTGCTATCTTTCCACGGGCCATCCGTGACAAGACATTTGACGAGGCTGAACTGTCTGATGAGGACCTTGTCATCATGTCGTACAAGGTCTGCGGTTTTGTTCTTCGCAACCGCAAATGGGGTAAGCGACACTTTTGTTCCACACCGCAAGCCTTTGATCTTTAGTGGCTAACAACTCGAACTTTTCAATGAATAATAGCGCAGATGGACTTGAAACACCTCACCCCGCTCAACCCTGGGGGCAAAACTCGACATGTTGGCGATAATGTCCTTGCAGCTGGGAATGCGGCAAGTAAGCCAAATGCAAAAGCAGAAACTACACTTGACCAATTGGTGCTCCCCCCAGGCCATAAGAACATTGTCAAATCCCTCATCTCTCAACACTTCCAAGACAAGGCCATAGGGAGGTACGAGGCTGAGGAGAAGGATGTGGTACGAGGAAAAGGTATGGTCTCCCTGCCCTTCTTGCCGTAGCTTTGCGCCCACAAATGGCTGATTCGCTTCGAAACAGGCAAGGGTTTGATCATACTCCTCCATGGTGCTCCAGGAGTCGGCAAGACGAGTACTGCAGGTAAATTAATCCATCCTCGAAGAGCGAAGTTGCATCACCAGTACATCGGAGCATCCTAGTACTGACCATCCGCAAACTCAGAGGGCGTGGCAGAGGCTTTCAACAAGCCACTTTTTCAAATCACTTCCGGTGAGTATCCACGGCCCCAAAGTGTTTGAGGAGTAATCACTTCACTCAAAGCGCGGTATGCTGATAATACTCAGGTGACCTTGGCACCAACGCAAGAGAGCTCGAAGATGCCCTTGAATGGCATTTTTACCTTGCCCACAAATGGGATTGTGTCCTCCTCCTCGATGAGGCCGATGTCTTCCTGTCAGTGCGCTCGCCGGAGGACTTCCAGCGCAATAGCCTGGTGGCAGGTGAGTCACGCACCTCGTGCAGTAAAATACACCATGATCTGTCGTATGACTGAAACTCGACAGTGTTCTTGAGAGTTCTGGAATATTATGCCGGCGTGCTATTCCTTACCACCAATCGCATCGGGGATTTCGATGAAGCCTTTTCATCGCGCATCCATATCAGCCTGTATTATCCCCCGCTGAAGCGCAGTTCGACCAGAAAGATCTTCGACTTGAATCTTCGTAACATCCAGCAACGCATCGAAGAAAGAGGGGTTGAGATTGAAGTCGAACATGACCAGATTCTCAGCTGGGCTGTTGACTATTGGAGGAGAAACAAGAAAATGAGATGGAACGGACGGCAGATCCGGAACGCCTGCCAGACCGCGCTTGCGTTGGCTGAGTACGACGCACAGCATCCGGCAGGGAGCACCACAGATGAAGCAGCTGGCCAGGAAGAAGGCACTGTTGAGAAAGCCGCCAAGATAAAGCTCACCATCGGTCACCTCGAGACGGTCGCGAAGGCCTACCTCGAGTTTATGCGGTACCTTCACGAGATCTACGGAAAGGATGCCGAGAGACGAGCCAAAGCCATGGGAATCAGGGCGCGGGAATTCTCCTTGAAGAACTGGGCCGCCCCTCAAGAGCCACCGCCACAAGAAGATGAGGACGATGAGGAGTCTGAAGACGAGACAACCGGGGCCGAAGCTGCACAGAAAAACAAAACCGTCCCACAGCAGGAATCCGACCGGGCCTCGGAAAAGGGCAAATCTGCGGCAGCGGCTCCAGCTCCCAGTCTGGCACCCCAGAACACTCCCTTCCCGGCGGCCCCATTTCCGTACCCGCCCTTCCCCATGCCGAACATGCATAATCCTTATGCGGTCCCGGCCCCCTTTGGGCAGGCGCAACAGCCGCAAGCCACGCCTTACCAGCAGACTGCCGATCAACAGCGCCAGTTCTTCGCCAGCATGGCCGCTTGGAACAACATGATGCCTGGGGGTCAGCCGGTTCCCTTTCCCGGCATGGCAGGCACGCCTGCGCAGGCTCAGGGAGGGGCGCCGCCGCAGGGCGGGTCGCCGATGCAGGGTGGCACGGCGTTTCCACCAGGATCTGGGGCTGGAAACGTTTAGATTGCAGTTCGAGTGATGCTTTGTGAGCATCTGATCACAGGATGAAAAATAGCTTGCAACATTGCAGACCAGGAAGTTGTGTCTGGGAGATGTCATGCTTTAGTTTAGTTTAACCTTGGTTCTGAGTCTGAGTGTCTTTGACGGGATGCATGGATGGTGGGCTGACAACGAACTATTCATGTTGACTTTTGTTTCATGTTCAGTCTGCTGTCTACGTCACGTAGTTACGCTGCTTGTATCCTTGGCTAGGACCTTGGATGCAGGTCGCTGTGTTGACTTGTGCTGCGCAATGCCAAGCAGAGGACTGTCCTTTTCTCTGCATCGCCATTCCACAGCCTGAGCTTCGAAAAAATTGATCCTCAGAGTCTTATGGTAAAGCATGTAATGACTTGCATACTCCGGGAATACACAAGAAGTGTTATGCTCCGATGTAAGATAGTAAAATACGTCAGGAACTGGCTTGAGTGGAAGGGCTGAGTTCACCATCGTTGCAGGCTCAACATATGCAAACATTGCCACTTGCAGGTTGTATCTGTAATTACGAATATTGACCAATACGCTTATTCGGAATCGTCTTTTTAATTTGCTATCTGGTGGAGTTATTTATCCTATGAACGATTCCCTTCAGTCGGTTCGAACCGCCCAGCATCCAATGGAAGATCATGTTTTCCCAGGTCTAACTCCAGGATCCTACCAGTGGCAACATGACAGGAAGGTCGGTGGTACAAGTCACGTTATTTCCCGCATCCCTCGTACAATGCAGCGGAAACTCAGCCTGGTAGACAGGATACACAGCATCCCCATTCTCGCCCGCACACTGGACCACCGGCGCCCAACGGTACGTCCCCTTAGCCCCTTCATCCTGGTTGGAATCCCCATAGAACTGCACTGGCGGATACGACCCAGCACCACAAAACAATGCCCCGTTCCCAATGTCTGTGGAATGGAGAAAATTCGCAGGCGGACTCTGGTACGAGCACAAGTTCGAGGTGAGCCTGTCAGGTGGTCCGAAACCCAACGGCGCCGTCTGGTCGAGTAAAGGCGGTCCACCACATAGTGGGTAGCAGGCCGCGCATTCACCTGGGCCTGGGGGTGTGCCGTAGTGGAGGTGGCGAGCGTCGGGGCCTACACAGCGGACGTAGTGGTTGGTATCTGTCACGTTGTAGCACCAGACTGCGTCGGAGGGGAAGTTGCGGTTGAGGCAGTCTAAGTTGTGGGACGAGTTGAACCAGCTAAAGGTGGTGAGTGTTTGTGACGGGGCGCAGGCAGAGAGGGTCTGGTCTTGTGCAGAAACAAAGGCAACAAGGCCTAGAGGGAGGAACAAGCGTGCTAGAGAAAGCATCGTGAAAGCTGTGGTCCTTGCAATAGGAAAGCACATCGAAATATCATTAGTCTTGTTGTTCAATTTTCATGGCATTCTCGAAAAGTTCCAACACAAGTTGATATATACACCTAGGTTCATGCATGCTCTATGAACCTGGCCATTGTGGCATCATCCGGATGTCGGCAAAAAGAAAAGCACATCAACTTGCCTTATTAAAGAGGCAACAAGCTGCGAGTACGGCCTTGGCATGCGGAGTGCTGGTAATGTGCAAGGTTTATAAACGAGAAGGATCACAATACTGCATGCTCAAAAGAGTGTGTCTAGTTAATCTAGTGGATGCACGTAAGCACGCTAAATAAGAAGAAAACGGATAGCGCACCGGTTACCCGCGAGGTAGTACTTGGGAGAGAAATCATTGATGGTGTGGGCAAAGTGTCATCATTTCGCCGACTACACCCAACGTAAGCTATCCCGCCGCCTAATGCATTGCAGTGTCCCGGCATGTATTATATCTATAACCTCAAATGATGCATTCTATCAAAATGAAAAAGTTTCGTAATCCCCTATTAACAATCTCTCTCAAGCCTTCTTCTTGCCCTTAGGCATACGAACCAGCCAGTACAGGAACAGAGCGGCGATAATGTTGACAACAATATACACCATTCCAATTCCAAAATCTCGCCACCTGTTGTCAAAGTTGGAGCTGATGGAGGCGAGGAAGGTGTTCGTGTTGGCAGTAGAACAGAACGAGCAGTCGCTCGTTGCCGCAGGGTTCTGGAGATAACCTCCCATCTGGCCGATATAGCCATCCATGAAGGTCCCACAGGTCTGGTTGTCCGGCGGGTTGAAATGGACATACTCATTCGAAGAGCACGTCACATCGGTGTTGGCGAGGCCGGTGGACAAGATGGCCGACATCAGGTACGTGAACGGCGACAGCCTGTACATGAAGATCCAGAAGCCAGGCATCGCGTCGGGGCTGGCCAGCACGCCGCAGAACAGCAGACACATCATGAAGAGGACGTTGGCGAGGTTGCCGCCCATCTCGGCCGTGTCGGTGACGGCGATGCAGGCGTTGGCGAAGGTGCAGGTGAAGATGAGGAACTGCCAGAACAGGAGCCACATCAGGCCTCCCCGCTCGGCCCTCTGGCTCGGGTCGCCGTTGCCGTCGAACCCGACGGGGTAGTAGACGCAGACGAACATGAAGACCGACATGAGCGTGTTCCACGGGATCTCGGTGACGATCTGCGACAGCATAAACACCTTCCAGCTGTACGTCTTGGAAGGGCGTTCGCGGACCTCGTAGAGCGAGCGCTGTATGACAAAGTGCGGCATCTGTTGCTGTACCAGTTGACCGAAGATGGACAGAATCTGGAAGATGGCAAACATCTGGTTCTGCAAGCCCTGTATGGTCAGGGGCGCATTGAGGAAAACCAGGCCGATGAAAAGGGCGACGGAGCAGCAGAGGATAAACTTGGAGTAGATGTACGAGGGCGTTCGCCAATATTGCTGAAAGACGCGGTGGGTGACAATCAGGAACTGGCTCCACAGAGGAGCGGCAAACTCGCGGTATGTGACATTGGCATCCTCGCCGGAAGAGTGGTCCTGGCTTGGACCCTCGGACTTGAGCCGCTCGAGCTCGTCCTGAACAGCTTGGTACTCGGGGCTGGATTTCCACGCCTGGGGCCAGTCGACGTCGGACGATGTGCCGGGTGCCGCGCCGATGGCAGACAGCATCCACTCGGCGGGATTCTCGCCAGGAGGGCACTTCGGGGCTCCGTTCCTCTCAAAATAAGATGTGAGAGTCTGAGAGTTCTCGCCGATGTCGCCAAAGTAGACAGTTCTGCCACCCTTTGCCAGAAACAGCAAACGGTCGAAGCGCTGAAATAGCATAGCGGACGGTTGGTGAATGGTACACAAGATCGACTGGCCGGCCTTTGAAAGCTTTTCAAGCAGATCGAGAATAGCCCATGAAGTTTGAGAATCCAAGCCGGAAGTGGGCTCGTCGACGAAGAGAAGCAAGGGCGGTTTCGCAGCCAGTTCAACGCCAATCGAGAGTCTCTTCCGTTGCTCCACGTTCAAACCCTCGCCAAGCACGCCCACCACGGCGTCGGCATATTCTGACATGTCCAAGAGCTCAATGACCTTGTCCACATATGCGATCTTTTCGGCCCTGGGGGTGCTTTCCGGCTGGCGGAGTAACGCACTGAATTCCAATGCCTCACGGACAGTGCTCGTCTCAAGGTGCAGGTCTTGCTGTTGAACGTAGCCTGTTTTGCGCTGAAACGACGAATCGCGAATTTTACCGTCGACCAACATCTCCCCGGTGATAACACCCGTAGAGACACGGTCCGCGAGGACGTCGAGCAGGGTCGTTTTCCCGGCTCCAGAGACGCCCATCAGTGCCGTGAGAGTTCCGGGCTTCACCCACCCGTCCACGTGGTCGAGGATCCTCCTCGTCTCGGTCTTGATCTTGACGTCGTAGCAGACCTTGCCCCAGTGGAAGACGCTGGTGGAGGCCTCGATCGCGCCCACGTCGGCAGAGGGGTCGTCGCTCTTCTCGAGGATGGTGATGGGCCCCGAGTTGGAGGCCTCGACGTCGCCCTTCGCCTTGGTGGGGGCGGTCACGCCACGGCGGAAGACGAGGACCTCGCCCTTTGACTTCTTGGCGGCGATGTACTCGGTGGCCACGAGGTAGAGGATGTGAAGAGCGATCACGAAGCCGATCAGGATGCCGATGTTGCGCCACTTGTGGGAGTTGAAGTACTTGTACTGGGAGTTGATGTACGCGTCGCCATTGACGGAGGAGGCTCCAGCAACAGCACCCACGGTAGAACATACTCTGTTGGCGAGCGTGACGTTTTCGTAACCGTCTGCGGCGGTACTGGGTACAAAGACGTCGCACTGATAGTTACGGTTGTGGAACTCGTTGATCATGAGCTGTGTCGAGAGTTCATTAGCTTCTTTGCTTATCAAACTGACAGAGGACTCAATTTCTCCACTCACCGACTCAAATCCATATGCAACGGGATCCAAGTAGTTGATCCATCTGCACCAGCCAAGCATATAGTCGACAGGAATGACGAAACCGGTAAAGATGACAAGGGCGAGAATCAAGACGGATGCTGGGACCATGGCCTGAGACAAGGTGCGTGACAACGAGGCACTGTTTCATGTTAGTTGGTATTCCCACCGCAAGAGCACCGGGGAACTCACATCGACCTGAAGAGACCAGACATTGCCAGCACCATAAGGAAGGTGGTCAAAAGGAAGAAAAAGAAGTTCCCGGGCTCTCTGTTCAAGTTGGTCATGAAGTAGATGATCAGGTCGTAAAAGATGGTGTTCGTGATTTTGTACGGCATGTCCACCAGAACAGAAGAGAGCGCCTCAGCTGAAGCGTGGTAAAAAGCATACCGCCTTTGCTTCTCAACTATGGGTCGTTGGGCATATTGTGTGAGGATTTCGAGAGCGCTGGAGAAAGCATTTGCCAAAATGGCAACGAAGATGATCGCAGATCGACCGTAGAAGGACGAGGTTGTTTCCGGGAGGTTGTAGAAAAGCGACGACATAATGAGAGCGGTAGAGCTGTTGGTCAACAATGAAAACACTGTTAGGCTGGGGTCTCCTCGCAAGAGTTTAATGCCACGCCAGATGCATAGCTTGACCTGTTGACCATATGAGAGAATAAATGGAGACTTGAGGCGCTGGCTCTTGGCCTGGACCGACTGCTTGTGGTTTCGGAAGGCCTCCGCATCAGTGCCACCGAGCGGGTGATCGGCCTTGTACTGTTCAACTTGCTGCTTCAGGGCCTGGGCTTCGCTGCTAGCTTCCCAACACGCAGCGAATTCATCAGCGGTTCGAGGGACGCGGTTTTCCCAGCCGGGGCGCACCACGCGTTCACTCGGCGCTGTCATCGAGGTCAAGAAGTCCGGGGTTGTTTGACGTGCCGGACACTCGAACCCCAGATTGATGAAGTACTGCCTGGCCTCGGTTGTGCGGCCGAAAAAGATCTGACGCCCCTCGTAAAGGACAAGAGCCTTGTCGAACAAGTCATATGCTGTTTGGGGTGCCTGATAGATAGACACGGCGCAGGTCTGCTTAAACAATTCTGACTGCAAGCGAAGTGTCTTGCAAAATTCGACAGCGTTGGCAGAGTCCAGGCCTCTGGTCGAGTTATCCCAGCACTGCAGAGGGGCGTTAGATAGTGTAGCCTCTGCGATGGTCACTCGCTTGCGTTCACCCCCTGACACACCACGGATGTAATTGTCACCAACTCGCGTGTTCACCGTGTGGCTGATTCCGTACATAGCCATGACCACGTCGCGAAGATGATCGCAGTATTGGTTGGCCGTAACTCCATGGGGGAGACTCCGTGGACAGCGTGCCCGGGAAGCAAATGTGAGGGTGTCTCCCACGGACAGCTGAGGATAGTGAACATCTACTTCAGCGGTGTAGATGGCATCGCCGGCATGGTGGTCGTGCAGTTCCTTGGCAGAGATGCCCTGGTAGTTGAAGTAGGCGCGGTCATCGGTGTAGATACCGTTCATCTCGCCAGCAATGGCCTTGAGGAAGGTGGAGCAGCCAGACCCGGGAGGGCCCAGGACGACGAGCATCTCTCCTGCCTCGACCACGCCGTTGAAGTCCCGAAGAATGTCGATGCGGCGGTCTGATCCCTTCTTTGAGAAGAGCTGGCGGGTGAGGCCGGGGAGCTCGAGCCACACATTGCCAACGTCTTTTTGATAGTCCGTTTCTTGGCCGTACCCGAATACATTCAGGTCTTGGAAGCAGAACCCAGCAGTTCGGTATCCTGAGCCGTGCTCATTGGTGACGTTGGCGATTGTCTTCGCCCACGTTCGAGCGCTGAACTTTTCCCCGTTGGGGTTGAGAGGCGAGTCGGGGTCGTCGCTACCGAAAAGGGCCAGGTGGTCTCCGTTGGTGTTGACTGCAGAGTGACGTGTGTATTCTCGAGCTAGCTCCTGCACGATAGAATGACGGCGATCTAATTCCGTGTCGTTGCCATCTTCTCCCCCCGTTGACGAGGATGTGTCGTCGTCGTCGTCTTGTGCTGGCAACGACCTGTTGCCTTCAGCAGGCCCCGTGCCCGGGGGGGTGAAGACTGCTTCATGGTCGACAAAGGTCCTTTGGCTGGCGGCAGGTGACTGGTCCTCTTTTGTGTCGTACGGTGTACTCATGTTGTCGATTGGGAATATTAATGTTGAACTATGTGTGGAAACGTCTGGCTGATGCTGCGGTTGCAATGGAAGCTTGCCAACCTGTAAACGGCGTCGGTCTGGTCAGTGTCTAGTTCTTGGAGCCTTGACGATCACTTGCATCGGTCTAGACTCACCGATTCGCATTAACCTGGTCTTCACTTGATTATTCACAGGTAGCCGTTGAGTCCCCAGTCTATGCCCAATAAACAATTAAGAAAGAATGCAGCTAGGCTGTCCCACGGTTAGAGTGAGCATGGAACTGAAGCGCAGGACCATTGGCCTCGGACCATAACCCATTTAAATACCTGCGCAAGGCAAGGGTCATATCTCAATACTGCGATGGGAAGCCATGCACCCGGCTTACACACACTACGTGTTACCCACAAGTCCGAGGGGGTCATCCCTTATCCGGTCCCGTCCTTCGGTCTTTGTACAGCTCGTCATTCTAGCACCAAACCAATGCCCGGGGCTTCCGTACCCACATCATGGCAAAAATTCGAACACTTGTCTAGTACGGACAATGCTGATTAGGCAATCTCGTCCAGGCTGGAGTCTGCGTGGAGGCGTGAGGAATGTTCGGTTCGTCGGAAGTCGCGGCCATCCTTGGCGGTGATCATCACCACGTATTGCATAAAGTCCGTGTGAGGTCAAGCTTAAACCCCGGTGCATGGGGTCTGCAGCATCGGGGCCCGCGAACACACCGGGAACGCGTATTTTTTTCCGAGAAGTCCAAATCCCCACGTCAGTCCCCCAAATCCCAACCTACTTTCAATTAGCCTTATAAGTGCCGTTCCTCAAACCCTCTGTTCAAACCCTCTTTTTAAACCCTCTTTTGCTTACGGGCTTCAATTGTGAAACACTTTTTACAATCAATGCAAGTGTCTTTGTTTGATAACACGCCCAGAAGAATTAAGTTACTAATTGGTTTTACATATGTAGATGGCCATTTCACCGCACACTGCTCATTTCAGCCACTACCGCGAATGATTCCCCAGGCTGCAACCCGAGCTCAGCAGTCGTTTGCACAGGACAATGGCTCTAACCCCATGGAATATGGCTATGCGCCTCAGGTCTCCCCATACCCGCAGTACGACCTGAGCGCGTCAGCATCACAGGTGGTGTGACAAAGGGCATATGCTTCGCGGTGATAGCTGCGCTCTTGATCCTCCTCACTGCTGCTATTGGGCTTGCTGCCGGCTTGGGCGTGAGCCAGAGGAACCTGCGCAGTGTCAAGGACGATCTCGCAAGAGCCACAGAATCGTGGGGAACCCGTCCACTGTTTGCGCTTTTGTTTGGTGGTTTTATGGTCTATGGCTGCCGGGCTCAATGAATTGACACACGCAGCAGGCCATCAGCAGCAACAACGGTACTCGTGACAGCCGAGCCGACAGCGACAGGAACACCGACATCGACAACCTCGTCGTCTTCAGCCTCCGCAACCCCGGAAACGCCCAATATCACCTGCCCGGGCTCCAAAAACACAATGCACACGGCGGAAACGAACTCCTCGTCGTTGTCAACCTCCGAGGGGGCTGGGAAACAGTTCCAGCAGTTCTACGGCATCAACTTCAGCGGAGACCAGGCGGTCCACGTGGTCAGCATCAAGGCAACGAGCACGGACGCCTACATAGACGTGTACGCCGCGCAGACCGGCTAGACCGGCTCCGGCTGGGGCTTCCTCGAGGGCAATGTTGTCGGGTGCAGGGAATGCATAGTAAGCATTTCGGCCATTCTTTTTATCCGATAGCTATTTTAAGAGCTTCGGCTTCCTCTCCTTGCTTTAGATCCTTTCTGATCAGAACAATCAACTCCCCTCTATTATTTTTGAAGACAGAATTTTGTGATTATTTTGACCCTATGCATTATGACGCTCTTTTATTCCTCCTCGCGTTAGAGTACCCTTGGGCATAGCACTGGGGCTTCTAGCAGAACTACGCTCCACTGTATGTGTGGTTGACACTTCTCGGCATCTTCTTTCTGCCTCTGTCGTGGATCGCATTTATCTTCTCGATCGACGAACGCCCTCACCCAACGGGTTTCCTACTGTATTGCAAAACGGCGTTTCCGGTCGCTGTTGGGCTGGGCGTACGAGTCGCAGTTTTTATTTCTTCCCGGAGACCAGTATTTGGCGGTTACGCAAGTTCGACAATCAAACGCTGGATTTATTCACGCTGAAGCATGTATCATGACTAGGATCTAATCCATACAGCGATGCGAAAGAAATGATTCCATTACTATCTGCTGCTCTCAAGTCACAATTTGAGTCTCAACCAGTGGTGCACGTTGAAAATCTAAATTTCCGCATTTTCAACGTAGTGTAGCCTGAAACAAAATGCCTACTATGTTCTTTAATAAATGAGCATCATCTTGTCCATTCATTGTAGCTTTTTTTCACTCTGTAAACGCGTCTAAGGGTAGACTTGGTATTTTGTATATTGACTTAAAAGCAGGAGAACGGATATACGCACCGGTAGAAACGGATGGTACACTGGCACATCACTCGCGCCACGGCTGCAGCTACAACACTCACGCGCACAATCCACACGCCTATTTTGCATAACGTGTATAGGTGCTGGGTATGCAAATTGGGCATGTGGGGGGTAGGTGTGCGACATAGGCGTGTGGGTATTGGGCGTATGGGTGTTGGGCATGGGTATTGATTTAGTTGGTGCTGGCGATGAGCCGGTGTACCATCCATTTCTACCGGTATGAATATCAGTTCTCACAGAGGCTGGCAAACGAGTCGATCTGCATTTTCCACAGTCGAAGTCAGTCTAAGGCTTCCAGAAGGACAAATTTCAGCGGAATGGGCAGCATCAAGCATTGCAACTCCGCTGATTGAACTGCTGCCTCAATCAATCGATAGCGACTTGCACACTACTTCGCGGGGCCTCCACCAGGATGTATGGTTGGACAGCACGAATTGGCTTCCTGAGGTTGATGCCGCTGGCCACATGGCCAGTATTTGCTTCCATTCGTTACGAGCACGATCGTGGCTCCCTTATGTTTCTGGTGGAAGCATCTTAAGAAGCCTCCCCGCAGCATACCGGCCTTCTGGCTGGGCGCCCCGACAAATATCGATTATGCTCTGGTAATACGTCGGTATCTCGGCATCGCAGCGGGGCAGGGCCACGGGGTCGGGGTGGGGGGCTCTGAACACCGGGACAGTCTCTCACGGGGTTCCCAACGCTCCGGGTGCCATCGGAATGCACAACCAGATGCTTTGCAGCACATTTCCGGTATGGTCATGGCATACCCTGGCTCATGTCGCGCCAAGAGCCATAGCTCGAGCCCCAGTTGGAACAGGTCGGTCTTCGCAGTCATTTGGTTTCGTCGGGGCCCGATACATGTTGCTGGTCATTCCCCTGTTGGCTGGGCCGGACTTCCGGGGCTGCCCAGCCTCTGAACTCCAAACACACGTTGCCATCAACAGCCTTGCGCCGAACATGCCCGTCTTCATCCAGTGCGAGGTTCCATGTACCATGGCGGCCAACTACTAGGCTCTGAGAGTGAATATCAGCCGTCGCGGAAATAATGTCGCGTGCCCATGACAGCCGGACCGACCACGCTATCCGCACGCCGGCTACTAGTACGTTGCACTTGTGCAAGATATTACCCACGGTTCCGTATTCATTTCCACGAGTCAAGTAGCTTTTGACCTGCAGCCTCTGGTCATCCAACACCACACCCAGCAACTGTACAACACCTTTGCTGTGGCGCAATGCGTGGAGCGCTGCGATGTTGGCAAAGAAGCCTTCGTAAAAGTGCGACATGATATCATCGCCATTGGGGGCAAATGACACCTTTTTCTCAATGCACTGTCGTCCCTCGACCCATGAGTTGTATTCGCGGCCGCTGATTGCTGATATCACAGCCACTTCGCTTTCGACAAACTATCTGCAGCCGAGATCGTCAACATCGGCAACAAATGATGCTGCACGATCGAAAGACCGCTCTCTCACGTCCTCGGTGACACGCAGTTTGTTGCCAAGCAGTCTGCCGGTGCTCTTGTCCACCTCGATCCCCGAGACATTCGTCACGGTATCGTAAAATGCAATCTCCGTGGAGAGAAGCATCTGCACCGTGGATGCCACACGGCCGACATCCGGATATTCGGGGAAAGAGAGCGTTAACGTCCCCGGCCCCGGTATGGGCCACCCCCCCATCTGGGCCACCACTTTACATACTAAATACCCACTTTTTAATACCCTTTCATTTATTCTGTTTAAATCTTATAAATACCCACTTTTTATATTTATATTTATAAATAATAATCTTAAATTTTTTAAAATACGCTTAAATAATAAATTATTAAAATGTTAAAGATTTTATAAAAAATATTAAAACTTTATAATAATATTATTTTAATATTTATTTAATGTATTAAAAATGAGCTACTTAAATAAATGGGAATTAGGTGTTGCTAAACTTTCTTAAGGATAATTTAAGGAGGAGCTTTAATATAATAAAGAGGGAAGATAAGAATAAAAGGGAGTTAAAAAAAGGGAAAAGATAAATATTTAAAAATTCTTAAAAATAAGAAAGGCTTAATTAAAGCATTAAATATATAAGAAAAAAAAGAATTAATTTTTTAAAAGAATATTTAAAATAAGCATAAAAGCTAACTTTTATAATTAATTAAAATTTAATATAATATTATTTTTTATATATTTCTTTATCTTTATTAATATATTCTTTTTTAAGTATTTTATAATAAATATTATAAAAATTATTAAAATAAAACTTTATTATTTTTAATTAAGCCTTTAAGTTTTAAAATTTATTTTATTATACTTTTAATTATTATTATTATTTTTAATTTTTTATTTATTTATTTTATTATAACTTTTATTTCTTTATAAAAGCCTTAAATATTTTTATAATTTATTTAATAATATATTTATTAATTATATTCTTTTAATTATTAAAGTTTATTTTAATAATTAATATTAATATAATTATTAAAGATTTAAATATCTTTATAAAATAAAAAGTAAATTTATTTTTTTTTAATTATTATATTAAATATAATATATTAACTTTATTAATTTTTATTTTTATTTTTTATAAAATTTTTATTTTTAAATTTTATATTTAATATTTAATTATTTAATTAATTTATTTATAAGCCTTTTAAATTATCTTTAAATAAATTTAATTATTATTATTTTTATTTAAGGTTTATTAATATATTTTAAGTTTTCTTTATATTTATTATTAAGAAAAATAAATAAAAAAAATTTTTATATATATTAAGATAAATATTTTTTATTAATTTTAAAATATTTTATAATATAATATTTAAATTAAAAGCTTATTTAATTAAAATTAAGCTTAATTAACTTTAAAATATATAAAAATTTATATTTTATTATATATTAAATATTTAAAATTAAATTATTAAATTAATTTATATTAAAAATATTATTTTCTTTATATTCTTTTTATAATTAATAATAATCTTAATATATTATAATTTAAGTAATTATTATTAAATAATTTTCTTTTATAATAAAAGCTTATTTTTTATTTTAATTATTTTTATATTATTAATCTTAATAATAAGAATTAATATAAATATTTAAATAGTTTTTTTAATTTTATTAAGCTTTAATTAAATAATAAATATTTAAGTAATAATATTAATAATAACTTAAAGTATTTTAAAGTATATAATTTTAATTAAAATAATTTTAATTTAATTTTATACTTTTTAATTATTTATATTTTAATTTTTCTTAAAGTAATTTTTAATAAACTTAATAATATATTATTTATAAAATATTTTATTAATTTATTTTAATTTTAATATAAACTTTTTATTAAATTCTTATATATTTTATTTTTTAAGGTAATTATTAAATATTTATAAATAAATATTTTAATATTCTTATTTATTTTATTATTTTTATTTTTTAATATAAAATTATTTTATAATAAGTAATAATTATTAAGTTTATTAAAAATTATTATTATTTAATAATTAAATATATAAATAAATATAATAATAAATTTATAATTCTTTATTAATTTATATTATTAATATTTTATAAATAAAGTATAATTATAATATAAAAATTTTTTAAATAAAAATATAATATTTTAAAAATTAAAAAGTTATTAAGTTATAAAAATTATAATATATTAAGTTTTTAATTTTTTATATTTATAAAATATTTTTTTTATATTAAAAAAATTAAAAATAAAAAATATTTAATATTATTTTATTAAATTTATTAATTTAATTAATTTTCTTAACTTAAAATTAAAATTAATATTTAAAAGATATTTTTATATTATTTTTTATAAATTTATTATTAAATATTATTTATTTTATATTAAAAAATAATAATTAATTAAAAATTTAAGATTATTAAATATTATTTAATTAAACTTTATTTATAATAATTCTTTTTTAAAAAGATTTTTAAAAAAAATTAATATTTATTTTTTAAATAAAGTTTTATTAATTTTATATATTTATAATATTTAAAAATTATAATATTTTTATTAAATAAAGTTTTAAAATTATTAAAATAAAGAAGTTTTATAATTATTAATATTAAATTTTTTTTTAAAATAATAAACTTAATTAATAAAATTAAGATATTAAGGTTTTAAGATATTTTATAATATAAGGAAAATTAAGATTATTTTTTTTTCTTTATTTTTTTAATTAAAAGATATTTTAGCTTTTTAATTATAAAGAAAGAAAATAAAGAAAATAAGTAATAAAGTAAAAAATAAATAATAAAAATTAAATAATAAAAAAGAAAGATATAATAATAAAAAAAGTTTTATATTTTTAAAAATTATTATATAAATAAATAAAGTAAAGAAAGTTAAAAATAAAAAAGAAATATAATTAATATTTAATTATAGTTTAAGGTAGCTTTTATAAATAATTAATGCTTATTTTTAAATAAGAATTAAAAAAAATTAATATATTAAAAGTAAATTTTTATTAAGATAATTAAGTAATAATTAACCTTTAATTTTTAATTAATAATTATATAAAAATAAAAAAAAAAGAAAGGTAGGAAGAAAGCTTAATTATAAATAAATAAATATAATAATATTGAAAACGAGCCACCCAAATAAATAGGGGACAAGTTCTGCTAGACCCTCTTAAGGACAACTTAAGGAGGAGCTTTAACGCGATAGAGAGGGAAGATAGGAATAGAAGGGAGCTAGAGAAGGGGAAAAGATAAATATTTCAGAAATTCTTAAAATAAGAAAAGCTTAATTAAAGCACTAAATATATAAGAAAAGAGAAGAGTTGATTCCTTAAAAGAATGTTTAGAATAAGCGTAAAAGCTAGCTTTTTATAGCCAGCCGGAATTTAGCGCGGTACCATTTCTCACGTAATTCCCTATACCCGCCAACAATATATATAAGTTAAAGTAATAAAAGTTAATAACTTATTACCCTTAAGTTAAATAATTATATTAATTAAAAGAAAGGAATAATAAAAAGGCTTATAAATTATTATTAAAAGTTATTAATTTATTATTTTATTAATAATTAAAGTAAAAAGAATATATAATTTTTTATTTTTCTTAAATAATAATTAATTATAAAGTACTTTTTTTTAATTTATAAATTTATTAAATATAAATTAAAATAAGTTATTTAATTAAAATTTTTTTATAATAAAAAGATAAATAATTTTTTTATAAATAAAGAATTAAAGATAAGTAATTCTTTTAAAATAATAAATTAATCTTAATTAAAAATAAGGTAATAAATTATTTTTTTTAATAATAAAATAACTTATTATTAATATTACTTATTTTTTTTTTATAATAACCTTATATATATAAATTTCCTTTTCTTTTTTAAGTTTTTTTTTTCTTTTTTTTTAAATTTTTTTTAATTTTAATTAATCTTTAAGTTAAGTTAAAATTAAAGTAAAATATTATATTTTTTTTTTTTTTTTTTTATATTTTTTATAATAATATATTTTATTAAAAAAGTTTTTTTTATTAAAATTAAAAAGTTTAATATAAAAAGGCTTTTTTTTTTCTTAAGTTATTTATTATAATTTATAAGTTAAATAAATTTTAATTAAAAATATTTATATTTTCTTTATATTAAAAAGTATTTTTAATAAAGGTTAATTTATTAAGATTATTTTTTATAATATTTTTATAAAAAATATTTATATATATAAAGTTATTAATATTAAATAAAATTAATATTTTATTTAATAATTTAATAATTTTATTTTTTAAAAGGTAATTAAGAAATTATTTAATAAATTTTTTAATAAGCTATAAAAAGAATAATTTTTAAATAATATTAAAATTTTAATTAAAAGTTATATAAATATTATTATTATTAAAAAGAATAATAAAGCTTTTTATAAAAAATATATAATAATAATATATAATTATTTTAATTATTATTATTAAATAGCTTTACTTATAACTTTTTATAATTATTAAAATGCTTTTTTTTATAAATATTATTTAAAATATATAAATTATAACTTTTCTTTAATTATAAATAAAAATATTTTTATTATAATTATTTTTTTAATTATTACTTTTTATATAATTTTTATAATAATATTTATATTAATTATATTTATTATATTAAAGAATTTAATTATATTTTTAATAAATATAATAATATAAAGAAAATATAAGAAATAATAATAATTAAAGAAGTAAAATTTAAAGATATATTTAATTTAATAATTATTATTAATAAAATAATATAGCTTAAAAGAATAATTAACTTTAATATTATTTAAAATAAAAAGATTAATATTATTTAAGGTTAATAACTTTAATTTTATAATATAAAATTCTTATTATATTAATTTTAAAATAAGCTTTTAATAAGATATAAATAATAATTAAGTAAAAGGAAAAAAAAGAAATAATAAATTAAGTTATTAAAAAAAAAGTTTTTAATTTTAAATAAGAAAATAATAAATAAGTATATAGTAAATTTTATAATATATTTTTTAAAAATATAATATTTTTTATTTAAATATAAGGTTAAATTTAATTAAAGAAATAAATATATATAAAAGAAATTATATATTATAATAAATATATATATAATATATATATATATATATAAAAAAAAAAGAATAAACCCTTTTTTTAAATAAATATTAAAGTTAAAATTTAAAAGTATTATTAAGTTAATTATA